GCTTGGGGCTGATCATTTAAAGTTTCTAGGTGGCGCTATAGAGAAATTAGGCCACGCCCACCAAATATTGTGATGGATTCCTGTCGGGGAGTAGATGAGGGTCCATCCTTGTGAATTTGGAGCAGCTGTGCCCGAAATTGTGGAATTGAGAGCCAAACGTATGGCGATGGCGTTACAGGTCACTTCGCCACGCCGCCACGCCCACCTGCTGCACTGAAGCTGGTCGGGGTTGGAGTCCACAATACACCAACATGTCTTCGGTGTCTGGGCACAGTTTCATGTTGATGAGGTCAAAGGGGTCAGATAGCGACCGTTGACAGTAAAACATGACACTTCCTGTTCTCAGGGGGCGTGGCCTAAGTGATTTCATCACTTGACCATAGGATATTGTAGGAGACCCGATGATGATCAATCACAGTAACTTTGGTGCCTCTGTGAGTTTCTGTATAGGAGATATAGCAGTTTCTTTTTTTATGGCGAGTAGGTGAACTTTGACCCCTGCTAACCCCCTTCAGCATACTCAAAAACTCACCGTTTTGATAACTTTAGATGGGACATGCCTTCTGAACAGACTGACCGAGTTTGAAGCTGATCAATCGAAATCCCTAGGAGGAGTTCGATCAAATACGAAGGCTGTAAACGGCAAAAATGGGGTGAAAATTTGACCTTCAATCCAAAATGGCTGACTTCCTGTGATACTTGCACTATGACATTAATTGTAAATTTTGAGCATCTTGGGGAGCTGTACAAGTGTACCAAATTTCATGTCTCTAGGATAAAGTAAGTGAATAGCAAAGGGTCCTTTGAAAATTTCTAGGTGGCGCTATGAGCCATTTCTTATGGGATTTTTGCGATGACCTTAAAATACAAAATTTTGAAACTCCTTTACGCGTCCGCCAAGTTTGGTGAGTTTTTGAATATGATAAAGCCCCCAAAAAGGCCCCTCTTTAGGGGGGCAGAATAATAATAATAATTAAAGCTGCAAGCAGCCTCGAACGGCCCTCGCAGCCAAGCGCCGCTCCGGCCTATTGCCACCGCGGGGTACGAGCAACCGCCGCCTCACGCCAGCCACCACAGAAGCTCTCACGCAGTTTTCAGCGCCTCCGCCCGCACCGCGGAAGCTGTTGCTCAGTTTAAACTTCTCCAACTCCGGTCCAACAGAGCCTTCTTGCTCAAAAGCGTGGTTCGGATTTGCAACTCCAAAATCCAAGCAAAATGTTGAGCGTAGTCCAGTTCTGTGGCTCCAAAAAGAAGGCAAAATGTTCAGGAAAACTTCGCAGCTCCAGCTGTCGCCGGCTGACTTATTACGTAGCGTCGACTGTTTTCTCATTGATGGAGTACCACTGCCTCCTGCTGGGGCAATACTGGTATTGCACTAGCAGTACCAGTATATCGCCACAAGGTGCCAGTGGTACTCCATCAACACTGACCCCAGTGTGTTCTTACTTCGCTGTGTCATAAGTTTTGCTGAATGACTTTGTTTGTATTATTTCTAGCAAAAATGAATGAATGTTTGTACTTTAACCCCATCAAATAAACTTATATATATATAAAAAGTTATAATAATGTATATTTAAATAATTAATAACAACATAACCTATGGGCTGCTGTTTTCTAGGGGCGCTATAGAGAAATTAGGCCACGCACCAAATATTGTGATGGATTCCTGTCGGGGAGTTGATGGGAATCCATCCTTGTGAGTTTGGAGCAGCTGGGCCCAAAAATGTGGAATTGAGAGCCAAACGTATGGCGATGGCGTTACAGGTCACTTCGCCACGCCGCCACGCCCACCTGTCCATGGAATCTGTTCGGGGTTGGAATCCTCAATACACCAACATGTCTTCGGTGTCTGGTCACAGTTTCATGTTGATGAGGTCAAAAGGGTCAGATAGCGACCGTTCACAGTAAAACATGACACTTCCTGTTCTCAGGGGGCGTGGCCTAAGTGATGTCATCACTCGACCATAGGATGTTGTAGGACACCCGATGATGATCAATCACTGAAACTTTGGTGCCTTTGTGAGTTTCTGTGTAGGAGATATAGCAATTTATTTTTTATGGGGAGTAGGTGAACTTTGACCCCTGCCAACCCCCTTCAGCATACTAAAACTCACCGTTTTGATAACTTTAGATGAGACATGCCTTATGAACAGACTGACCGAGTTTGAAGCCGATCAATCGAAATCCTGGGAGGAGTTCGATCAAATACAAAGGCTGCAAACTGCAAAAATGGGTCAAAATCCGAACTTCAATCCAAAATGGCCGACTTCCTGTGGGGTTTAGACCATGGCTCCAAGAGACTTTTTTGTAAGTCCTGAGAAGGTACACACGTGTACAAAGTTTGGTAATTGTAGGTTAAAGCATGGCTTGGGGCTGATCATTTAAAGTTTTCTAGGGGCGCTATAGAGAAATTAGGCCACGCCCACCAAATATTGTGATGGATTCCTGTCCGGGAGTAGATGACTGTCCATCCTTGTGAATTTGGAGCAGCTGCGGCCGAAAATGTTGAATTGAGAGCCAAACGTATGGCGATGGCGTTACAGGTCACTTCGCCACGCCGCCACGCCCACCTGCTCCATCGAAGCTGGTCGGGGTTGGAATCCTCAATACACCAACATGTCTTCGGTGTCTGGGCACAGTTTCATGTTGATGAGGTCATAGGCTTGAGATAGCGACCGTTAACAGTAAAACATGACACTTCCTGTTCTCAGGGGGCGTGGCCTAAGTGATGTCATCATTCGACCATAGGGTATTGTAGGACACCCGATGATGATCAATCACAGAAACTTTGGTGCCTCTGTGAGTTTCTGTGTAGGAGATATAGCAGTTAATTTTTTTATGGCGAGTAGGTGAACTTTGACCCCTGCTAACCCCCCTTCAGCATACTCAAAAACTCACCGTTTTGATAACTTTAGATGGGACATGCCTTATGAACAGACTGACCGAGTTTCAAGCCGATCAATCGAAATCCCTAGGAGGAGTTCGATCAAATACCAAGACTGTAAACGGCAAAAATGGCCTCAAAATTGGACCTTCAATCCAAAATGGCCGACTTCATGTGATACTTGCACTATGACATTAATTGTAAATTTTGAGCATCTTGGGGAGCTCTACAAGTGTACCAAATTTCATGTCTCTACGATGCAGTAAGTGAATAGCAAAGGGTCCTTTGAAAATTTCTAGGTGGCGCTATTGAGCCATTTCTTGTGGAATTTTTGCGATGACTTTAAAATACGTAAATTTTAAACAGGCTTAAGGCCTCCGCCAAGTTTGGTGAGTTTTTGAATATGATAAAGCCCCCAAAAAGCCAATTCATTTGGAGGGAGAATCATAATAATAATAATAATAATAAACAATAGGAAAACAATAGGCCTTCGCAGCGCTTAGCTGCTCGGGCCTAATAAGAAACAGTAGGAAAACAATAGGCCTTCGCAGCGCTTAGCTGCTCGGGCCTAATAAGAAACAGTAGGAAAACAATAGGCCTTCGCAGCGCTTAGCTGCTCGGGCCTAAAAATGTAACCAACAGACATCAAAAGAAACCAGACACGGGTATGTTTGATTAGGCTGTTTTTGAAATTGTAGCATCTGGGTAGCATGTGGAACATTGTAACAGTGGGCGACCAAAATACGGAGACAATTTTTCTCTCTAAGCTGTTGATGGAGGTTTGGATCGTGGCACCTCTGACGCATCTCTTCCCCCTTTCTTTCTCTGTCCATTTCCTGACGGCATATTTCTCATTTAGGCCACTAAGGCCACAAGAACATAAAAGAAGTTTATGCATCAGGTTCTATATTTCTACCAATTACTACAAATTTATAAATACATTTTTTTACTCATAAAAAAACATATTAAATTTTTTTAGGAATAAAAAAATTCTCTGTCTTCGGGGTCAATTTTAAGAAAATATCTGCATATTCTATTGGATGGCTTGCAGTAATATTGCACTTAAATGCTGGTATTAATTAGGGATGCAATTAATGCTTAATTATTCTATTGATTATTCTAACAGTTAATGGGATAACAAAGCCATTATGGAGATTTTTCAGTTTAGCCTTTTTACACAAAATTTTAAATCCAATAAAAGATGAAAATAACCAAATGAATCTATGTTTAAGTAAGAACATAAACATTTTACTGGATAAAATTCAATAACATTGCATTCTTTTAGTGTACACTTGATCAATAGTAGCAAAGAATACAGTTAAGCAAAAAAAAAAAATATTTTATTTATTTTTATTTTTTTAATAAATGTAGAGCAAAAAGTTTTTAGGATTTTTTTTTAACAAAATTTGAACTGGGTGAATATAAAGCTGCCACTTGAGGTGTTGAGGGTAGAACATTTACAGACAAAGAAGATTTTTTATTTTTTTTATCTTAAATGCAAAATGTAGATATTTTTGTACTGTTTTGTCTTAATTATGTCTCTGAGCGCATTGTTCTTTTAGTGGATGGCCTTTTTTACAGTCCACATACTGCAGTTAGCGATTATTTGATTACTGTACTAATTAAAAGTTATTTCAGTAATTTTATAGTCATAATTAATTTGATTCTTTCATTCCTGTTATTAATTTGTTCATTGTAGTCATCTTTTACATAACATGTTTTAATTTCTGCTTAAGTCTTGTAAAATTTTAGAAATCATTGTTCTCACTTTAGCCATGTTGTTCTGAAATAATTTGTCTAGAAACTGAAGTTTGGCCCGATCCTTGACGATAACTGTCAAAAATGTATCATTCAGCTGAATGAATTGGCTTCAGCTGCTTTAAAAGCAAACAGTTCAGTTTGGGGTTATCATATAAACATAGTTTAATGAAGTGAAAGCAATGCTGATAATTGAGAGCAGCTTTAGTAAACTGTGAAGAAACCACTCCTACTTCCACACCAAAACCAACTTTACTGTTTCCTCTTTTGCCTTTATTGTGCTTCAACTAGGTTTTAAATGCTATAAGTATGACTTAAAGATAAATGGATTCACCAAATCACTGTTTTTGTGTTGCAGGAAATCGATATCATCGACTTGTGGACAATCTGTGACACAAGAAAAGGAAAGTACTCCAAGTCACCAAAGGTTGGTAATGTGTCCTTAGGTCTGAGTCAGAGAGAGGGAGACTGACGTTTTTCCTTCTGCTGTCAGGAACTTTCTCCTCAGAGTATGAATGTGATGTTTCAGGGATACTGTCAGGGAGAAGTGTGTGTGTTTCCTCACTCAGCTGATGGTGACGGGGTGTTAATGAGGCCGCCTACAGATGGCCCATCAGACAGGAAGTGATATAACCAGTGACTGTTGGTGAGGAAGTCATTGTGTAAGCGGGTCCAAGCGGCTGAGACGCAGATGAAGCAGCGTTTTTGACCTCATCGACGTCTTTGTGTTACTCAGATGAGTGGATTCATTTGGAAAGAAATTCAAATATTGATTTATACAATGAAAATGTAAAAAAAAAGTTATAATTTTATATTTTTCACCAATAAATTTAGATGACCAAATATTATCTAGAGGCGTTTCATTGAATTTTTAGTGGAGCTTGTCAGATATTCCAACTTATTTAAACTTAGTGAAAGTGAATTTGTATTGGAGACATTTTTATTTCTATCTGAAGGCATTCATATTTAATTTGACTGACAGTTGCAGTGAGTGGAACAAATCTATCAACAACATAGTTGTAATCGGCCTAAACAGAGACCATAAAGTTGCTGTGGCTGGAACAGCAGCAGACTCTCTGGCTGTTGTGTGACTGTGGCAACAAGGTATTGATTTTACAACTGGAAACTGATTAGCATCTCAAAAGCTCTACTTAATCCTAAACTACATCCCCAAATCCTAGGAGAGTTGAAAAGTTTGTTTTATGAATGCCAAACGGAACCAAAGTGCAGACGGAGAATGAGGAAGTTCAAATCGTTTCCAGTCTCTGCCCGACTTTCTAATCCTACGACCTGACAGATTTAAAGAGGAGCGGCAAAAGCAAATGAGGTGGAAAAGTGTGGAAAAGATACTGCTGATCCTTTCTGCCCACAGCATCACCATCCACAACAATAGTTTAAAGATAATTGAATGAAATGACTTACTTACATTTAATTCACCTTTAGGAAAAAAAAGTATTTTTTTGTATTGAATATTTTGTTGAATTGCATTGAAAGTCATACACAGAGAAATGAAAACTAGTTGCCCTCTTATATTTCTTCTTTATGAATGTAGTATACAATGACTTTTCCTTTAGTGAATGCTTGATTATTTGCACCAAAGGACGCGTCTGCAGCAAAAAAACCCCAACAACAACAAAAAAGCAACTTTCACATCACTATGTGAAAGTTGTTTAATAGATTTCTTAAATATATATTTTTGGCTTAGTTTTGTTTTGACTGCTATTTATAGTGTTCTTTCATCAAATGGTTGACCGTGTGTAGCAAAGGCTCTGGATGCAAAACATTTTCTAATATCTGTTGTAAAAAGCTTGGATTGAGGATTTTCAGCCAGATTTGGATTGTGATTAAACTCTTTATTAATTTGAATGAAACTTCCACCGTTGCTCCCAAGTCAGACCAGCACAGGAACAAAACAATGACGTCCGAGATAAACCAGCGTCATTGGGAATAAACTGACTGGTGCTTTGATTCAGTCTGAGACAGTCAGAGAGAGAGAGAGAGATGGCTCACCCCACTGAGAAAACTACAGATTAAATCATCCATCCATTGATCAGATCATTCACCCATCAGTCCATATTTTTCCTTTTTTGTTCACCTATCAATCCCCATATCCATCTGTCCGTCTGTCTGTCCTGTCATCCATTTACCCATCCTTCATCACAGCCTGTCCAAGGTTCCACTTTGAAGCAGAAGTTCACCATTACCATTATTTGTCCATGAGCAAATGCTGGACATATTCACGTTTATATTTAACTAAGTAATATTTGTGTCCATGCACAGGATTTCCCGCAGCTTCCTGCATGGCTGCTTGAGCTTGATGCAGTGCATTTGTTTATTCATTGACGCTTCATGCTTTTATGTAAATATTTACCGGTGCACCAAACAGCTATGAGCAAATTCAAACAGCTTTACTAAGTCATGGAAATGTTTCCCCTCTTTTTTACACTCAAAGGAACTCCTAGGAGTTCAAAGACACATATCATAATGCTTTTTCCTAATATTCACATTTGACTGTTGAGCAGTGTAGATATTTGTATTTGCTCATAGTTAAAGTATATTCAAGATTTTTATTCATATATGACTTTACAGCTTTAAAGAGGTTTTATTACATTTGATCAAATAAGTTGAGTGCAGCACTGGCCAGATGGCTGACATGCTTTGCAGAGCATTTTATGGTTCTTAATGACACTGTTTTTGATGTACGCCCCCATAACTTTACTGTTTTGATTTGCCTTCATTTGGATACCAAACACACAGTAGTAGTGTTGTTACTGTGGCTTTCAGACATTGAAATGGTCGCCTCAGCAACACTAACGGCAGTTTTTAAAAGGTCAACAGCATCATTTTATAGATCAAGGAGCAATAATTGTGCTAATCAGGAAGGAGTGTAGTCATCTCAAAAATACACAACAGTTCAAAATGACAAGTAAAATCAGGTATAGAATATTTTTTCAATAAATTAATATATAAAAAACAAATTAGGCAAATTGGAGCTCAGGTTCCTCCTGTTTCCACTCCAGAACTTGCTTTACTAAACTCAGCTGATTGGAGCGCCGGCACGTTATTTAGTGGTGAACAAAAAGAAGAGTTGGGAAAATTATATTTGATCACGAAAATTATTGTTTATTTTAATTAGTGCCAGGAGTCTATATTTTTTAATCAACTTAAATGCTGCCTCTGTAATTTATTAATCCTAATTAAAAAATAATTATTTTTTCCAAATATCAATTGACAAAAGTAGAAAAACATTTTTTGCTGCTAAATTTTTGAATAAACAGTTGTATGAGCTCAACAACAAAGATATTTATTGTTTTTTGTATTTAATCTCTTATTTAGGTTATTTAACCATCAGATTGATATAAAATTATATCCGTTTAGCTTTCAGGAACCTCCTTTTACTCATGTAGCTTCTTAAAAAAATACTTCTGTAGGAACGTGGACATTAGCTTTAGAGATGTCTGTAGTGCTGCTACATGTTTAGCATTTAGATGCTATTTTAAGCTTGGATAGCTTCATGAGGCTAACTTATGTTGGCACAACTTGAACACAACAGTCTTTTCCAGTGCCCCATCACACATTTTCTTGCTGAAATATTTATGCACAGTGGGCCAAGAAAAGCGGATTTTTCATTTACTGTGATGTTCTGTGCGTCAGATTTACAGATGTACCAGAAACACACAAATACAAAGGTTCCATTAGCAACTCTTGTATTAAAACAGTAATCACTTAATCAAAAGTCTACATAATAAAACTTAATGTGTTAGTCCCGTCCCTACTTTTTATTTAATAAAAGCAAAATTTCACAAATTGGAATATTTTAAATATATCATTTGGCAGCACCATTGCCTTACAGCAAGAGAGATGCTGGTTGGAATCCCAACTTAGTTTCTGCATGGAGTTTGTATGTTCTCCCTAGTACCAGTTACTGGGTTAACTGCGTTCTCTGAATAGTCCTTAAGCATAAGCCGAGCCAACTTTATAATTACTTTTAAAACGGTAAAAAAAATGTTTCCCAGGACTCTGCTGTGATCCGCAGCTATAAACGATGTCTGCGGCTTGTTACTACAGCTGTACATCGCTTTACTGCTGGTCCAGAAGAGCTGAATGTTAAGCTTTACACACACATGAAAGGGAGCCAATATTTTGAATAAATGTCCGGTTAATTCAACTCCCTCACATCAGAAAAACTGTCGTCTGTCACAGGATAAAACCTGAAGTCCAATGGTCCGTTTGTGCTGCAATATAGATTTGAATACGTGGCACGCATCCCAGGCGATATCTTTGCATCTGCCTGTTATTTGTTGTACCTGAAGTACAGGATCGTCTACTCATCCATATCAGTTGTTTTGATTTGAATGTTCAATTATATAACCTCCATTTTTTTAAAATGACCCAAAAATGGCTTATTTCTTCTAGATTACCTGTAAAGTCACAGCACAGGTGCTCCTACCTCAATTTGAATATAACTAAATAGCTTATTTATTAAATTCAGTAATTCAGTCTTATAAGTGTAAGATTGTAGTTGGTTTATTATATAGATTGTGCATTTTAATTATATATTTTTGTCAATTTTGATCAATAAAAATTATTTTTAATGTAGAAATGTTATGTTACTAATCATTGGCAGATGGCCATCGGCACCTTCTACCCTCTTTGCCAAAGAAATGTTTGTATCAAAGCTTATTTATGAAAAGTTTAGTGGAAGAAAAAAGGTGCATGAACAGTGGTGCCAGTCACAGCAGTATTTATAAGATAAGTTTCAGTTTCTTAATTGAATTAGTAAAATAAATGAACGTTTTGGTGATTTATGTCATCAAAGTTTGCAATCTTGGGATATTGCTCCTCTCAACGTTCCTCTATAACGTGAGACGTGCCTGAGGAAGAGCGATGCTTAATTGTGAGACAGATGCAAGGTACCACAGGGAGTTGGTGGGCTAAAAAAGAGGAAAGAGTCATTTAGTTAATTAGTTTAGAATGCAGAGCCTCATGCATCACATTCTTCCTCTCAGGAGAGACAGAAACAGTTTGTGTTTGTTCTCAGTCTTCAGATTGTTTGGTTCTTTGTTGTTTTAGGGACATTGTGAAAAATGAAGCAATTCTGTTGTTTTGTTAGGATCCTAAGATACGGGAGAGGCTGGGCTATGAGAAAGAGGGATTCGAATCAAGGCTGCTGACCATTGTCCATGGAGTAGACATGGTGAACGTCTCATTCATGTGTTTGTTGGCTTTGGATGAGAAAATCGCACAGGTAATCCTGGAGCTCCGCCTCCCTCTGACACACGTTAGCTAGTCGTTAGCATGATCTGCCTTCCAGCAGCGATGCAGTCGAGTCACATGCCGTCCTCATGTGTGTTTAATTCCAGATTTGGGCAGATGAGCTCTTCGACCTGGCGACCAACATACTTTCCAGGAATTCATCGAGGAGCAGGCACCTTTACAAAGCGTAAGACAAATTCACAGTTTAGAAAACTGAAGCTGTTGAAGGCGTCAACAGGAAACAAAATGGAGAACAGAAAAGAGTTCACATGTCCAGGATAGTTCAATCCACCCAGACATCCATACATATGGGCTGAAGAATGGGAGAAATCTGTGAATGTGTGGAATCTGAACAGGAAGTGTGAAGGACCCAGTTTGTAGAATTTTCCAACGATGCTCTGTTTTGTTTTCAGGTACACTAAACTAAAGCTTCATGGGAGTATGGATGGGAGGATCCCAATGAAGCAGTGAGTAAAAGCCTTTCCTGCTCCTTCTGTAACACAGTCACATCTGTGTTGCCTATTTATGTTCTCATTTTGCTCTTTGTCTTAAAAAGTTGCCGTCTGCTTTCTTTTTATTTATAATCAACAGTGCTGCGGGAAGTGTTTGCTTCCTTATAGATTACTTTTTAGTTTTGTTTTGTTTTTTTACTTTTTTTAAATATTCTATGAAGAAAACTCAGCCAAAAATCCTCCACAGATAGTTAGAAGATTCATCAATCCAGGGAACCAACCATTATTTATGAGGCTATAAGGGCACAATTACCTTTTCACAACGGGTTAGGTTGGTTTGGGAAGCTTTTTTTCCCTTAACATATAAATTCATCTTTTGAAAATTGCTTTTTTGGATTCATAACTTGTGATCTGTAAGACAGCAAACATTTTTTTACCCTAGCGTACGTTAACCTTTAGATCCAATGTGAACCAAGCCAAACCTAACAGTGAGAGTTTTTGCTTTTCAGCTTTATGAAGATGTTTTCTGATAAGAAGAGGGTGGAAACTGCAATGGAGCAGTGTAACCTAAACAACAATAAGGTAAGCAATACATGCAATCTGTTGTGATCAACCAAAAGATATTCATTCAAAAGCAACGTTTCATACAAGGAAATGGAAAAAGATTTATCACTTGATCCATCAACTGATTTTTATAATTTTTTTTTATGTTTAATAACTTCCTCCAAATTTTTTATTTGCTGCATCACAAGATAAAACTTTCCTTCATTTTTGAAAGAGAGCACTAAGATAAATTCACTGTCGTTAAAATAAATATCCTGTTCCAGCCCTGTTTCTGTTTTAGATGCCAGAATTGAGCTTTCTGTGTTTTGATTTTTTTCTAACAGAAGGCAACTTTACCTTTGAGATGTCTGAATGTTACAAACTTTTAAATAGATTACGGTAGATTTAAACTACTTACTAAAAGGTAAGAAAGCTGCATGCTAAGTTGGAAGCTCACTTGAGCTTGAAGCTTTTTTGTCCTTTTTTGGACATTTTTATGAAATGTTCTAGAAGCAGCTTAAAAAATCTATAAATTTGTGCCTGAAAAGGTAATGAATTTGAAAATCATTCCTTATATTAAGGTTGTTTTTTTTAAAACAACTGTAGTTGCTTATTTTAAAAGTTAAACTACCAACTTAATATGCAGAAACATGCACAGTGGAAACAGTCGTCTTTTTTTCTGCTCTTCAGCCAGTAGCGTATTAAGTAGCAGTGCGTCCAGGTTTTGAGAAATACTCTAGGGAAAAAAACGCAAATAATTTGTGTTTAAATTTGATGCAAAAATCCACAGATGTCCACAGTATGTAGGACAGAGAGAAGGTCGTCAAGCCTGCTTGTGTTTTATGAAGCCTAACTTCCAACAATTTCATGCGTTTCTTCTGAGTGACTGTGACAAGTGGGAAACTAGGGTTTATACAAGCACTGCTGCATCTGGCTGCTGCCAATGAACTCACAGTTGATTGAGCTGCTGATATTGAACAAGTCTTGTTCTTGTTCATCAGCCCTCACAGGTCCAACACGATGAACTGGCAGCACTGGTTCTTTCAGGGTTTCAGAGGAAACCATTAGCAGTTCTCTCTCAAGAAATTCATTTCACTGGCAGTTCTTCTTGCTTTGACCTTCAAAACATCACTCCCAGAAATGAGATTGCCAAATGCAAATAGCCATTATTCAATATTTTATTTATTTATTTGAGCAGAGACTTGCAATATAATTTTAAACATGCAGTTGAATGACAATGAAGTCTATGTCAATACAAAGGCTTTTGAAGAAATAGATATCTCTCCAGTTGTGCTGTAGATGCTGCAGAGTAGTTTGTTGTTATGTCCATCTCCTGACTGATACTTTTGTAGAAGGAGTTTCTTCTGATCTTATCCAACAAGTTTCCTGGTCTGGACACTGTGACTGTAGCTGACAGATGTTTATAAGCAAATATCAGGCACGTTCTGCTGAGGGAGCTTTATTTCAGGTTACTACAGCTACAGGTGTGCACCAAATAATATCGAGTGCTGAAATTGACAAAGCTTGAGTTTAAAATTGTGCAGACATATTAATCATTTGTTTTTCAGTTGAATTTCAAGGGGCATATTTGTGTCAATAAAGATGGGAAAACGTTCTGAATAATTCATCATGGTCTCCTTTTTCTACATCACAAACCCTCATTTGCTACAACCGGTTAAACTAATAAGCTGTGTTGAGGTTGTTTATGTTTAGTACTGTTCATTGGCAGAGCTTTTACATTTCTACCAGTAACGGCTGGCTGGGGGTTACCTGTGTCTTCCTGTTCCTGTCTGGGACGAAAGCTGAAAAATGTTTGGAAACTGCTCCTCCACCATGGTTCCACTCCTTACAGTATTGCAGTTTTACAGATTTTGAGATGAAGCCAGGTCTCTTTAAGTGTTGAATATTGGCTGTAGTCTCTACTAAAAATCTTTTAAAGTCACAAGACTTGTTCTTCTTGATGAAGTCTTGAAACATGGTTGACAGAGCTGTGTGCGTTTGTCTCGTTGCTGTGGTGCCACCTGTTGGTGAAAAGTGTGGTGGAGCCATCGTCATCTCTGACTTTAGACACATTGATACAAATTGCCACATTTCTCTCCAACAGCTCCTTTGAAGGAATAAAACCTGTTTAGAGAACACTAGTTATATAATACAAAGTGAAAGAAAAATTATTTTGGGAAATTGAGGTGATTTGTGATAATATATATATAAAAAGCCTTGATATGTTATCATTAAGTTTAGAAACAAGCAGCTAAAACCAGATAGTTTTTCTCTCTTTCTATTTTAAGTGACTCAGGGTTATCAAAATTATCTGTATTTGACAAATAACCAAATAAAGAGAACTAGGATTATTGTGCCTTTAAATAATTTGGGACAGCCCAGAAAATCTCATGAATTTGTACACTTCCTCTCAGGTTCAGCATCTGAGTAGATATGAGGCACATGCTGAAATACTGTAACATGGACAAAGGAAACTGTGTCAGGCGTGATATCAGCATGTTAAGTATTAAGGGAAGCATAAACACCATAGCCCGGCCCAAATTTTGGGTCGGACTCAAGGTACAGCTCTAAATTGTAGCCTGGGAACAAAATCCTAACTGTATGGGAGAGGCAGTGTGATGTCTTGGTGCATAGAGGTCTGCTGTACTTAAAAAAATAGACAAGATCATAAAGAAAGAACGTATTGTAGCAATACAAAACGTTCTCATATTGGGTACCAAAGTTTATACAAAAACAGCATCTTAAGACGTTTACCATAAAGTTTGTGCAGAAATTGGACTTCCCAATTTCTGGACAGTGATAAATAACCAGATAGTGACAATGGACAATGTCCGTAAGCATGCAGCCAAATTAGGTACAAAGTGACTTTAGGACGACATATTCCACGTCTTAGAGTGGGCACTGCAAAGCCCTTATCCAAGACGACATTTAATTTTTACTCTGTTCCACCAGTTCTGTCAGGAGGAATGGGTTGAACTATGGTGAGAAACATGTATTATGATATCCAAAACATTTGACCAAAGTCACAGAGTTTAATTTTATGTAAATTAATGATTTTGACCAAGTAAGAAAACTATCTTTAAAAGTCACTCCCTCCCTTTTTTCTGGCATTTAGTAAATTGAATGAATTTTGGTCATTCCAAGGGATGTAAAACATAAATGTTTAGTCTGATTTAGTGTCAGACAGGGAGGGGAAAATGGTGGTGTGTGTGCAGTGTATGCACGTTTTTGGTTTTAGCTGGAAATAGGAAAATGTTGTTTATAACCTTCCAATCCTCTGTCTTAATCTCTCTATAGTCTGAAAGTATAAAAGTCGAGGATTTCACGTGGGAGGCTTTTCAAAAGTTCCTCGACAACTTGTGTATCCGGCCCGAACTGCAGAGCATCTTTGAGGAATGGTACTGGTACCTTTAATTTTTCCTTTTTTCAATCTAATCGCTGAGATTTTTGGGGTCGCTCCTTAGTGATACAGTTTTGTCTCTCGTTTAGTGGTGCTCGGAGGAAACCGTTCATCTCTCTCGACCAGTTCATGGAATTCCTCAATGAGAAGCAGCGGGACTCCCGGCTGAACGAGGTGCTGTACCCTCCCATGAAACGAGACCAGGTCCGACAGATTATGGAGAAATTTGAGACCAACGTCAGCCAGCTGGAGAGAGGTTAGCAGCTCAGATTTCTTTTCTTGATCTGGTTAAATACTCTTATGAAACAGCAACAGCCTTTGAAGGGATAGTTCTGGGAACTTATTATTCTTCCTTGAACATGTTAGGATAGGTTTATGACAGGGGTGTCCAGATTCTGGCCCAGATTTATGGCCTTTGGAGTGAATTTATTTCATGCCACCCAACTGTAATTGAAGAATGACACAAATTTGACCCGTCCATCAAGGGTGCAGATATAAACTTTTTATTCTTAATCAGGGTAAAAATTATTACAAACATAATTTTCTTAAAAAGCCAAATGTGAAGTACATTTGCCTGTTTGTTTTGTTTAATTGTAAATGTTTTGAGTGCTACACATGGTCTGTCTGTCTTTCTGTTGCAGACCAGCTCAGTTTGCAGGGTTTCAGCCGATTCCTCAACAGTGAGGAAAACATTATCTTACCTCTAGAAAACCTTGACCTCTTTGATGACATGACCCACCCGCTGGCTCACTACTTTATAAACTCCTCTCACAACACATACCTCACAGGTAAAACTCTCTCCAGAAGAATCTACATCTTTACCTTCAGTGGTTTATTTAACTGAAAAGATTCAGTGTGCTTATTTAAAACTGTAAAGCTTTAATTAAATCACCGGTGGCTCAGTTTGAACATACAGCTGTGTGTGTATGTGTTTCTGCCTGCCGCCAGTGGGTCAGCTGACAGGCGCGTCATCAGTGGAGATGTACAGGCAGGTGCTGCTCACTGGCTGCCGCTGCATTGAGCTGGACTGCTGGAAGGGAAAACCACCAGACGAGGAGCCCTACATCACCCACGGGTTCACCATGACCACTGAGATCTCATTTAAGGTGACGCACCCGTCTTATCAGCCTCTTACCCATCAACATTTATTCAAATTCAAAAATGCTTTATTTGTCCCAAGTGGATATTAAATGTTATCGTAACATTAAAGTATCTTCAAAGAGTCATCAAAGGTGATGCTGTCTGCAGGAAGGATCTCCTGCAGCAGTTAGTCTTGCAGCATATTTGAAAAGGCCTCTGAATAAAGATTGTCTTTGTGTCAGACTCACAGCTCTATTTCAGTGCAGGAAGGCAATATTCCCCAGCATGTGTAGATTTGTCAGGCTTGAACTGGACATATGCTTTTCAATCTTTCAGTGTCGCATGTAAATAATTTGCTGATGGTCTATATAAAGTACAGCTGCATGTATTCCTTAAGACAAAAACAGCAAAAACCAATCCAGGCAGAAGCAGATGTGTGGCAATAAAAAATGTTTATATTTATGTGTTTTTCAGATGTATTTTGTAATGTGAGATTTTCACATTTTAAATTCTGTCATGGCCTGCAGGAGGTGATTGAAGCGATAGCAGAGACCGCTTTCAAGGCTTCCCCTTACCCTGTCATCCTGTCTTTTGAAAACCACGTTGACTCGTAAGTCTAGTTAAAACTTTGTCACAGGCGGTCTGCATGTGGCTCTTGTGTGAACTCTGTGCTAGTATATTAGCCATTAAACTTGGCCACTGATGCTCAAAGGCACGCGGGGCTCCAGTTTCTACTAAGTTCTTGTCATTTCAGACCTAAGCAGCAGGCCAAGATGGCAGAGTACTGCAGGACGATTTTTGGAGACGCCCTGCTCATTGATCCACTGGAAAAATATCCGGTAAACTTAAATCTGTATTCCATCCAACCTCAATCATCTGATAGATCTCTTGTGATACTTGTGTCTGCTTAATCTGACCTTCAACCCCACTAAAGAGGAGGGAAGACTTTCCTTAGAAATTGTGAAAATTAACCATCTGAAGTTTGTCTCTTACATCTAATGAAATGAAAAGATTCCTAGTGTTTTTTATTTATTGCCAATCTGGTATCAATCCAGTGTCATTTTGGCTCAAACATTACCATTTATCATCTGAATGGCTTTCAGCTGGAACAAGATGTCCCTCTTCCCTCACCACAAGAACTGATGGGAAAGATCCTGATCAAAAACAAGAAGAAGCCTCACCTTGAGAAGACAACTGTGCGGCGCAAAGATCCCGTCCTGATCCAGCCGTCGCCCTCCCATGGTAGGGATGCAGAAAATCACAAGGGTCATTTCTAAAATCACTGTATCCAAGAAGAATGATAAAAAGCTGTGTGGAGGGAACAAGTGAGACCAAAATGGATGAACAAGCAATAGAACCTAAATATGTTAAATTTTGAGTTGATTTGGTTCATCGGAGTGTCACGCACCACAGTATTGTGCTACATAATCTACAAATGGCTCCTTGGAGACAAAGAGTCAATAAACTCAGGGTGATTTAAAACTTTTTGCAAACATACTTACGCTGACACATGGCTGCTGTTTTTGCAGATTCCCCCCTTGCAGACACAGAGGGACAGAATATTCTGTCCAACGGCGAGCAAAAGCAGGCTGAGAAGACGGCCAAAGACCCTGGGCAACGTAAGTCGCTCGTTATTTTCAAACAGAGTTGAATGGATTTGACCGGTCCACATACGTATGTTTTTTTTTTTGTTTTTTTCTGGATATATTTATCCTGTTCTGGCAGGAGGAGAAGAAAGTGAGGAGGAAGAGGAGAATGAGCCGCTGCCAGAGGGGAAAAAGGCCACCAGTGAAGAGGTATCAGAAACGGTTGATTGGCTCTTTGATGGTCTCTTTGGGCAGCTTGCTGATGGATTACTGCTATCTTCTCCCTTCAGGGTACAGCCCTAAACGAAGTGTCCGCCACTGAGGAGATGTCCAATCTTGTCAACTACATCCAGCCTGTTAAATTCAAGGACTTTGACAATGCATTGAGTTAGTGTGTTTCCTGATGATGAGATAGCTGGGGACGGTGGCAAAAGGATATTTTTGAACACTTTATTTTCTTTCATGTTCTTTTACCAGTTCCTAATATTTATCCTAACTGCCTTCTGTTTAACCAGGGAGGAGAAGGCACTATGAGATGTCTTCATTTGTGGAAACCAAAGCCTTAGAAATCCTGAAAACCTCACCATTTGAGTGTCTTACGTATCCTTAAATGCTTTAAGCAGAGCTTGTGTGCTAATCTCTCTGCCAGTATTTCTCAAATTCCAGAAAATGGATAAACAGGTTCTAAATCTGTATTCCTCCAAGCAGAGACAGCATCCAGACTGTTAAGTTGTTGGTTGGTGTTGGTTTTAGGATCAGTATTTGATCTCTGGACAAACAAAAATCTGGTCCCTTATTTGCAAACTCTATATTGTCACTTAGATTATATAAACAATTGACATCATAAGTGGTACCGCTGATATACCAAGCAACTGATCCACCAACCAACTGATCCACCAACCAACTGAGCCACCTTCTTTGTTAAAACCTGAGCTAGGTTTGACTCTTCCATCGGCCTGGACACCATCAGAAACTGAACAGAGTCTTGCAGCTTCCAGCATGTAATAAATTGAATCGGCAGATGTTGCGCCTCCCTGTATTTGTTCAGCATGTTGATCCTTGACAGGACTCTTCCAGGTATAATAAGAAGCAGCTGAGTCGGATCTACCCCAAAGGAACGAGGGTAGACAGCTCCAACTACATGCCTCAGCTCTTCTGGAACATCGGATGCCAGATGGTGGCACTGAACTTTCAGACTCTTGGTAAGCGCCTTTAACTCAGCCTTGTTTCTTTGGATTTGTCTGTGTTGCTAAGGAAAGCTGACATATAAAGCGCCTTTCACATTCACTGGCAGCTCTGGTAAAAATCTGTAAAAAAAAAAAAACTGTATAGATTACCTTACTTACCAGTCAAAGCAATAGGTAATCTGTTTGAAAAAACTAGAGGCCCCAATTATCATGATGACTCCTAACATAATCTTAAGAAATATTCCTGTCGTGTTTGTGGAGTTAAGCGCGATCCAGTCTGCTCAGAAGGCACAGAATAACTGATGGCGCGATCGGGAATTCACCAGTCTAAAACCTGAAGTATTCAACATGTTGGATTGTCTCGGTCAGAGATCGCAGCGTGTGGTGTCCCCTGAAAACAAGCGAGTAAATTTGAATTTGATGCTTGGCCAATCAGAAAGCGCGATGGTAGGGCATCCAAAATACACTGAAGACAACTGCCATCTTAAAAATAGCCCATAAACTCTCACCATTGCGTCTTTCCAGTCGGCCATGTTTGTTTACTTTAAGTCTTACAAGATTTCCTGAATGTCGTTGAGTTAAATCTGTCCATGTCTGGTGTGTTGTTTTCACCCTGTACAACCAAACTTGTTACACCTGAAGCTCTTTTATCATCATGTGGGGTCTGTCAGGTTTTGAAATCAGCCCGACCATTTTCAAATCTTGCCATGTGAACAAGGCTTGACGATAGCTTTTCTGTTTTTCAACAAAAGGGAGAGAAAAAGAATCCTCAAAGTGTCGTTTTTATTCTACTGAATTAATGTACTCAGCCTAAAAGGATTCCTAAATTTCTCAGTGTGAAGTCGGGTTGTTGCAATAAAATTATTTATTTTAAGCCTTTGACCCTTTTTAGCTGTGCCAAAAACAAAGGGCTGAATTAGGAAACACTTTTATGTCAGCTTTCTCAGAAATCTTCTTCCTTTTGTAAATTTTGTGAAATGTTTTTCGTTCTCTCCCGAACAAAAAACAGACCTCCCGATGCAGCTGAACATGGGCGTGTTTGAGTATAACGGCCACAGCGGCTACCTGCTGAAGCCAGAGATCATGACGAGGGGGGACAAACATTTTGACCCCTTTACGGAAGAAATTGTGGATGGGATTGTTGCCAATACACTCACAATTCGGGTATGAGTTGTTGATGCTTTTCATTGTCTGATTATAGCAGCCTGTGTCATCGTGCTATAACTGTGTGTTACTGCCCCTCCATCAGATAATCTCAGGTCAGTTCCTGACCGATAAAAAGGTTGGTGTCTATGTGGAGGTCGAACTGTATGGACTTCCACGAGATACAAAGAGGAAATTCAAAACCAAGGCCTCCAATGGAAACTCCATGGACCCCGTGTGGGAAGATGAGAGCTTTATCTTCTACAAGGTTGTTCACACAGCAAACTTTTTTGTGTTATAACTTTTTCTCACATTTCGTCTTCTGTCATACATCCTTTTTTAAACTCGTGTGTCGGTTCCAATACATTCCAGGTGATTCTCCCCTCACTGGCCTCTCTGAAGATATCTGCATTTGAAGATAACGGCAGGTTCATCGGATACCGAATTCTCCCAGTGTCTTCCCTCAAACGTGGTGAGTTTTCTGATATTTATGTGATCTGAAAACAAAGTACTACTACTAAATTACAATATATGTCCTCAGGAATGCTTTATCTATAATTAAAAGGTGTCCATTTATTTTATATGTCTTTCTTTTAGGCTACCGCTACATCAACCTGAGGACTGAGTTTAACCAGCCACTATTAATGGCCTCTCTGCTGGTTTACACTGAAGCTAAGGACTATGTCCCTAATCAACACATGGGTAAATTTGCCAAATTAATTTCACTACTAAGGAAAACTACCTGCCATTTAAAATAAATTATCATCCTTCAGTTGGTATGAAATGATCTTTAAATCAACAACAAAAAGTAACAGGGCAAATAACTGTGGCTGTCCAATACAAGTACAAAAGGAAAAATGGCTGCCAGAAATTTTCTGTTTGTCATTATTTGTTTATTTTCCTTTTATAAAAGAGTTTTAGTTTATTCCTTTGCCTAATTAGCGACTGTTCGCAGAAGCTACTCTCCACTTTCAGCTAGCAACATTTTTAGGTCTGTTTTTTATGTAGCTAGTGTCTTTGTTCTATTTATTGAAATAAACAAGTTCAAATAAATGCTTTGGTATATTTGAAGTCCATATATTCATATTTTTTCTAGCAAAGAAACAATCTTCCAGTTGCCACATTATGTATTGTACTTGGTTAGCGTTGGTTAGCAGCTTGCCTCCCTCTCATGTTAGCATATTTGTTGTTTTATTTAACTACCTTCTTAATAAAACACTTAACCTTTACATTATTTTAAAGATACTTTTAAAATTGCAATCTGTTATGTATGGCTCTAATGAACAATTAAGTGAGAAACTCCATAATCTCATAAAGTTAAGCTAACCTGCCTCTGGTGTTTCTGTCTGTACTCAGAGTACATCGAGGCCCTGACCAACCCCATTAAGCACATCAACCAGTTGGACGCAAGAGAAATGCAGCTTGCTGCTCTCTTGGAGGAAGCTGACAACAAAAATACGCTTTGTGAAGAAGTTAGTGAGCATGTCTTTGGTCTTCTTTATCTTTCGTCCATTGTAATCTGTTTTAATATATGAAATAATTACTTTTGGAAAACAGTCTGCAGACTACTCCAATGAGTTGCAGGATATTCCAGATTCACTCCCTTCCCCGGAGCCAACGCTTCCCACCAGTCCTATTGAAGAGACTCCTGACTGGCTACCTTCACCAGGTAGGGACATCCACAAATTCACTGTTTGTGTGTTAACACTGGAGAGTTTATGTAAAAGCTTATGGACTCTCCTGTACCAACTAGAAACTGCTTAAAGCAGACCAGCAGATCAGCAGGGTTTTTTAATGTTGCACTAACTGCCAGATGCAACACTGGTTTAGTCATGAGAACTGCAGAGAAGAAAGAGCTGTAATGTGTGCTAAGCAGATGTTCGTAAATGTGGCAGAATCATGAAGTCCAGGGAACGCATCGTCACACAGGTCATTTAAAGAGGAGTTAGGTTATAAACCTAAAAACATCTCAACCTCTGAACAGATCTCAGCTCAATACCCCGAATATCGAAATAGTACAGCGTAACTGCAAACATACCGAGACTGCAAGCATAAACCCCTGACAATTTTATAAAAAATTGTCAGGGGTTTATGCTTTCATGGAGGGTTTAAGCAACACTAAGCATGCACATGCAGTTTAACAGGAGACAACCTGTTAAGAACATGGGGGGAAAGGACCTCAACCCTACACCAACCTAAAGCAGCAGCATTAGCATGACTATCACATAAGATTTACAAACAAAAAGACTTTTAAGTTGTTTGTTCATTTGAAACAAAATGTGGAAAAGTTAAAGGGACATTTCTCAAGACATCGACTGTTTAGAAGCACCAATTAAGACATTTTTATGACAATCAATTAACATATTTTATTGTGTTTCTGCAGTAAATTTAGCTGAATTTGCATTCAAACTAGCGTCTCCTGTTGTTGAACAAGTCTGGGGATGATTAATTTGTCCATCATCTGTTGTACATGAGCTGTGTGTTTTCTCTGCATCCTATTGTAGTCCAAAGTCCTACAGAGGAGGATTTCATAGTACCCATAGTCAAAGGTAAGATCTTCACAACACATGAATTCCACTCTGAAACGAATGAAGTTTGACACACAGCCATCAGGGCTGAAATAAGCTGGACTTAAAATTATATTCATATTTCAGATATCCCAAGTCTGACTCTGGAGGAACTGAATCAGCATAAGAATCTCACCAAGCTGAAAAAGAAACAAATTAAAGACTTCAGTGAGCTGCAAAAGAAAAACCAAAAGAAGGTAAATGCAAAAAGCTTTATTTGGATGTGAGAATGTTTAATGGGGATCCATTGTGCAAAATTCACAATTTGCACATTTCTACAGCTTCTAAAAAAAAGACAACTTACCTAGCAACCCAAGAAAAGCTCCAGCACGTTTGGTCAGCTGTATGCGTTGTACAATGGCTGCTGGAAAACACAAGTGTTTTGTTGTTGACTTCCCATCCAGAAACCACCTGCTGCATTCTTTTTGGCTGTGCAGGAGGCTCCACTTCTGCTTCTCAAAAATGTACAGATTTATAACTCTGCATCTGTTTGCAGCCGTTTTTATGTGCGAGTGTAGAAGGTTATCTGGAGGCCCTAAAATAACTCATTCTGAAAGGAGCTCAAAACATGCAGAACTGACCAAACAAAAATTTCATCATCTGGGAATGAATTTGTACAAAAAATATCAAACATGTGTTTTATAGTTCATAGAGCTATCCTAGCTTGTTCAAGAAAGCAGGCTAGCATACAAATACCTTCTTGTGCTCCAGAAAGTATTTGTTTTTTTTATTTATTGCGTTTCCCCCTCATCCCTAGATTCAGTCTGAAAGTCAAAAGAAGCGCACCACCATTGAGAAAAACTTCAAGCGTAGCATCAAGAAAGGGTGAGTAAAGCCTGAAGGATGAAAGAGGGATGAAACGGGTGAAAGAAGGCAGCAACGTGAAGATGAACTGCAAGGCGCTGAACTGGTGTTCCTCTGTGCTCCAGTGATTCCCAGGACAAGATTGGAGACATGGAGAAGCAGAAAGTGCAGCTCTGGGAGCAAAACATGCAGGAGCTGCTGGAACTGCGACAGAGCCTTTATATGCAGGAAAAACAGATGCAACTGCAGCACCTGGCAGAGGTAACAACACTTTAACACAAAGCTGGATACAGAAGTTGATGTTGGAGTGGGGGATATGATTCTTGTTCATGATGATCATTGGAACTTCCTCCTTCCCTCTGCTCTCCCGAGTCTGTGCACTAACAAAATTAGCTTTCTCTTATTCTAATTTTTAGACATTTCAGAAATAAACTCTAAATTCTACAAAGTAGAATTGTAACTGTGTCACTGGAAAACCTGCTGCTGTGTCTTCTCAGGAGCGCGACAAGCTAAAACTGACGGTGACTGAATTTCAAGAACTTCACATCAAGAAGCTCACAGACATTTGCAACAAGTAAGAGGGACAGCCAATGCTACAATTTTCCAGGATTCTTTTTGCTCCTGGTTGAAATTTCTCCATGTCCTTAACTCTCAGCTGTGTCTCTTAAATCAGGTTTATTTGGTTATTTTTATATGTATTCAGTTCATCTGTGACTGTGTCTGCAGGGAGAAGAAGGAGATCCAAAAGATCCTGGAAAAGAAGCGAATACAGAACCTTATAGAAGCAAAGAAGAAAGATCCTGGCTTGTACAAAAACATTTAATTTTCATTTACCTGTTTATCAATCTGAGATAAAAGTGTTTAATTTATTTTCTAGATCCAGGTCCCTGTTATCTTTCATTGCTCTCTTTGACCTTCGTTATGTTTTATCCTTGTTCTTATCTCTCTCTCTCTAGGATAGTACCTGATTTCCACAAGAAACACATAAATGATTCCGTGGAGAATATTCGCAAGGTAATCCAACTCCTGTACATCACTATAAAGCTCCTAGCAAGTTTAATATTACTTCTCTTACAGCCCAGTTTTCTGTTCTGGGCTTCATCTGGGGCTAATTTGTCTGGAGCTGCAACTTTAGAGACTTTCATAAGTTTTCTTTGAGATTTTATGATATTTTTTGTCCTGGTTTTACCTAAAATCTCCACTTGATCCTCACCAGCTTGAGAAGTTGCAAAACACGAGAAAAGAGAAGTTCTTACAGAAGATTCTGGAAATGACGCAGCAGATGGAAAATCTGTTTACACAGGTGAGTTTGGACAAAACCAATTAATGGTAATATATTTTTATATTGCTTGTCTAAGGACAACAATATGAAACAAGACAGAAAAAACACAAAAAGTCATATTTAAATGTTAAAAACATTTTGCTGATATTACATATATGCACTTATGTGTCTCTTATTCTGTGAAAACCAAAATCCCGTCTTGGCAGCAGCTCCTTTGATCACATCGCACTCATATTTATATTCAGATTTTTCTGCATAGATGCAACTCAGACTAAGAACTTGATAAGTGCACAATTGTACAATCTCCTACATATTATGTACAAAATAACTTTTATCAGCACATACGTTCAATGACATTCATGATTCATAAAACCATATATTAATTATTACAAATACACTATGGATTTATAATACCGTATAAAACCCTGCTAGTCTACAATAAAACTTCCCAACCTCTTCAGCCGACAAGCTAAATGTGGCTAACGATTAGCCTAACAGCAGGTAATATTACCCAAGTAAGTCCCTCTTTCTCCCTCCCGCGCAACTACTGCCATCATTTGGTGTCAATTGGTATTACACCAGAAATGACTTCACAATCATCTATCAGCAAATGAGTCATCTCCACGCTGCATGAACAATTAAAACACAGATGATAAAATAAAAATGGCTGAGAGGTGACTTCAGGTAGCTTAATAATCCTGGGTACCACTAAGAAAAGATCTGAGGATTTAAATTGCTGCTTAAAAATTTTATCTGAGAAACTTTCTACTTACGACAACATTTTGACCTCCTTGTGTTTGTCTTTGTGCCGCCGAGCAGCGTGAGTCACAGCTGCAGGAAAAACTGGAGGAGGAGTACCGTCAGCTGCCGAGAGAGGTCAGTCAGCACCTTCCTTCGGACCTACAAAAGAAAGGCGCCGGTATGGACTCCCCGTTGTCGGCTCTGTCCAATCACAGCAGCCCCACTTCCGGCACGCCCTCCAACTACTTCACGCCCTGGTCCCAGAGATCGCTGGACAAGAGTATGGACAATAATCAGCTGCATGACTCCACGTCCTCCTCCACAACTCCTGCCCTGTCGGAGTCAGAACTTTCTTTCAACTAGACTTTCACGTTTTACAGAGAGAGAGACAAAGACAGGCGTCTAAAGTGATCATGTGGGGTGGAAATGATTATGGACTATCTACTAATTTTATTCTTTTTTTAAAAAGAAATCACTGTTTTGTCCTTGTCTACAGAGCTGTATTTTTTATTTTGCTGTTTTTGACAAATTTGTTATTGAAATCTTCATTAGGGTCATAATCAAACTTTTATTTTTTACACATTTAAAACAATGTTCTTGTTGATTTAGGCGTCTCTTTTAATTTTTGTGTTCCTCCGTCTTGCAGCCAGTCAGATTTGCTGCTTCATGGTGACCCAGGGAAGCTAAACATCTTTAACCTCTGTTTTTATACACCTATTTTTCTGAAAAGCTTTAAATTGTGTTGAACAAAGCAGCATCTGACACTTTACTGGTTCAAAGATGATCACCGTGGATAGTTTTTAGACCCAAATATGTAAAATATTCAAGCTAAAATGAAGGGATTTTCTTTTTTTAAATGTTTTAAATCTGAGAATTCGAACTGTAATAGCGGAAGCTGACCACTAGATGGAGATAGAGGCTCACCCTCTTCCTTCTTGTGGAAATATTCAGCACTCCATGACCATCTTCACCACAATCTGCAGCCTAATTGATTGTGGTGTTCCGGGATTTCTGTTTTTATCTTCCCTCTGAATGAAAATATCTGGAATTTGAATGTCTTTTAGCGCCATGGCAGCCTGGAGGAGGACATTACCTAAATTAGCAGGACTACTGTGGAACAAGCTGCATCTTAATGTAACTGAGACTCTGTTTCCATCATGTTGTTGTTGTTTTAAGGCTGATTTAACTCTAATTCCATGACCTTGATGCTTTAAAGCCGACATAAGAAAAGTTTTATGTAGATTTTATTTCTCCTAAAAGTTCCCCTAATTAACTGTGGAGCACAAAGTTAATGGTACATTGGTTCTGCTTCTACCAAAGCTTCCAGTTTTTCTGTATTGTTTTTTGTGAGTATTTCCTGTTTGTCCACTCTGACTGGTGAAATGATGGTACTCTGTATAGATGATCTGTGTATATGTGTAGCTGTACATGAGTTTTACTACTGACTACTAATGCTGGTGGGTGACGGAGGTTAAATTGGGGTGAGGGAAGAACCAAAATAAGTCTAATTTTATTTTTTTGGTTTTATTTTTTTAATATTTAGGGAATCCTGTTGGCTTTTTATAAGCACTGGCTGCCTTTGTTTCTTTATGACCGCTAGAATTACATATCTGATAGAGCTGATTGTTGGCATGGATTCTTTGGAGCAATGGGTTTACATGGACTCAGCGTGATGCGTTCATGCAGCGGTTCTGACATCCACACAGCTGCTAAACTTCCTGGTGTTTGAGGCTGAAAACACTGAGACTCTTATAAATCAGTTTTCTACCATTAATGTCACTGGAATCTGAACCAAATCAATGGAAAATAAAATGAATCAGTCATCTAAAAACAATAGGTTGTTTTAATTGTATTATAATATTACACTATTATACGTTTTTCAGACGACTACATGGATTTAAAAAAATGTTTTTTATCTTTTTCACTGAGTGAAGTCTTTTCTTTTGTTGACGTAGATGCAGGATTGGACTTGATGTAAAGTTGAAGATGCTAATCAATCATCTCCATCTGAAGGCTTTGAGTCGGGACTTACTGGTACTTGGATCTGCTTCCTTCACTTTGGCTCAAATCAGACCCGTTTAAAGTGATGTCAGCCCATCACTTCAGTGGGTTGAAGTGACCCTGCTTCAATTACATCACCCTGTAAATAAATCAGAGTGGTGGCTGCTTCAATTACAATGAAGCAATTTGGTACCGTTTTGTACAAAAATAAGGAGATTGCATGAAATTACTGCAGCTCCTCTCAGAAGATTTGTTAAACTTTTAGTTGATTTATTCAAGGTGAAGGTGGGAAACATTGTCTCAATGTTTTCAAGTCCTAAACACTGGAATTGTAACAAGAATTCAACAAGGAGCTACTGTTTACGTTCAGGGGTTTTTTTTTCTGTACAATTCTAGTTTGCTCCCTTTTCTAATCTGTAATAGCAGCTTTCACCTGCAGGGGTCAGTGTTTCCTTTGAATGAAACCTCTTGAGCTTTACGGATGATGATTGTCAAAATGCTCTGCGCCAACGCAAAGCTCTCTACTCTGGACTCACATTTTTAAACTGACTGTTGGCAGTCTAAACCAAAAATCTCAACGCATTCTTCTCAGTCCGATTGTTAAGGGAGAGTAGTATAAAGTCATCTTCCTGTTCTTTGGTTCGGACAGGATAATCAGGTACTCGCTCGTTTTGCTGTGGTTAAAAAGCACTTTCGGATGTTTGTGAAACATGTTCCCAAGATGCAGGTTTCTTTGCAGCCACCTTGCTGTGACGCTCTTTGTGCAAAGTATCTAGCCTCTTGAATACAGTTTGAAGAACCAAGGTGGTTTGTTTTCTATTTGCACTTTGAACTTGGGTTTTATTTGGTACCGTTTTGTCTCAGAATGCAAAGAAAAGTCATCGATTCACAGGCACGTTAATTTTGAACCATTTCTGACTGTACTTTAGAAACCTAAAGAGGTGCATGCATTGGTAAATGTGTCATTGCTGGGGATTTTTGCAGAACGGACTGTATTCTGATCCAACCAATTAAGATTCAAGCATCTTAAACTTACTCCACCAATTCTGATTCAAAGGTTCACCAATAAACACCGTAATGAAAACGACCATCAGGTACATATTTCAAATAATCCAACATAGTAATCTGCATTTTTGACCAACTGTCTTTCTGATTGAGTATAGATTCGTTTAAAGATTGTATGACAAAAAAACTGCAAAAAATAACTAACTGCACCTTTAATTAGACCAACAGGACACTACACTGTGAGGCTTGGAGAGAAAATGTTCTATATCAGGCGTGTCGGACTCATTCTTGTGTTGGGCCATATCAAGACCACGAATGCTCTTAAAGGGCCGGTTGTGCCAGAATGTATTGATTAAACCTGTTCACAAACTGTTAAAATATCAATGAATTCTTAAAATTAAATAATATTGATCATCTTTTCAGTCCCTCCAGGATTTTGTGATTTTTTTTGTGTGTGTGATTTTTTTTAGCAATAAAAATCAAAGTGTTTATGGCACTAATTTGGAAATATTTGCACTTATTTACGTCAGTAAATGCAACTTTATTACTCGCCGGATAGGTCATGGACTATCGTCTGACATCAGTTTATACTGAGGCAGCTGCTTAGTACATATAAGAAAGTTTTTGCAATAAAATACCAATTAAGTATTAGTGCAAAAAAAGTGTGAATTTGTTGATTTTGCATGAATTTCCATAATAATTCTCAAAAAACCGGAGGGACTGATTGATATAATTTGGCAGTAAACAGAAAAACTGCATTGATTTGATCGATAACAATATTTAAGCACAATTAGTGTTTAATCTAGAATCTGGAGGGCCACATAAAAAGCTAAGGTGGGCCGGATCTGGCCCACGGGCCTCCAGTTTGACACGTGTTCTGTATCATTGATTTCTTTGTGGTTTAATGTAAAACTGCATTAACTGCTGTTCTGTATCAATAAGGTTGTAGAATGAAATTATCCCTTTGCATGGATTTGTGTAGGTTTGTCACAAACCACGTCGTCTGAGCATTACAGCAGTAACATCAACAGTATCGATGTTACCGTCGTCAAAATTACATCAGAGCTTTATGAGTCGGACATTTTCCTCTCATGACATCATTCCAACTTGTCTGATTTCCATGATGGTTACTCTCGCTGATCTCAGAGTGTCGCTTGTTTAGACTTGTCAGCATTCAAGTCATAGCAGTTCTACTGGTTTGCTTCAAAGTTATTGATTATTGATCCTGGAGGTGAACATTTGTGCAACTTCTAAACTTCACTGAAAGCCAGGCAATTTCTTATTTTCAGACATGTTGGGAATTTACCTAAACTGTAGAAAAATGCACTGCAGTGACACCTGGCGGTATCTATACCGTGGTGTTTATGGCGCAATTATTAGAGTGGATTAGTGCATTGAGGAGGACAATATTTATTCATAAAGACTTTTTAATGCAGTCAACTTTGCTTAAAATTACATTTTGGATTTCAATGAAATGTGCCACATATGTCCTATGAATGGTGGCAGTGGAGGCAATGTTACCAAGGCCACTCAGGCTGCGTTCACACAAATTGGAATTGGGTCACTGGAGGCTGCAGTGCGTAACTGGTGCTATTTTCTGCTGAAAGATTTGCTTGTTATTGAACCTGTTAGTTGGTTCCAAATGAACTTTGACTGATGTAAAAAGTACTGCGCATGACACTTTTATGTAGCACTAAAAGTTGCTACATTACAGCCATAAGTGGGTGAAGCCCTAAAATGCTTTTTCTGGAAGAGCTAGTTAGCAACAGGCTACTGCTAACAAGGACAGCAATCTGGCCCTAATTGTGGTACAAGTTTATGTTGCCAAATCTAGAAACAGGACGAGTCAAATTGCACTTTAGTATGCCTGCTAGTTAGCAACACATTAGCTCCAATTAGCAGTGATGCTAAATATCAGGCCTATTCATTCATACAAGCTTGTGCTGCTTGAGCGAGTTAGCAAACTACTGCTAATTAGCAATTTCACTACAATCTGGCCTGTAAGTCTGCTGCCGATTAGCAACTGTCAAGTCCTATTTTATGTTATCACTACAACCAGCATTAATCGTAAGAGAACATTTGTGGTGGACTATAAGTTAACTAACTACTAAGAGCTTTGTGATATTTGAGCACCCTGTGTTAGCTACGAACAGGCTAATGCTAGTTAACAGATGACTGTCAGGGGCCTAATCCTCATTAAATCTGTCTCTAGAAGCTGGCGTTAGTCAGGATGATGTTTAAAAAAATTGCCATAGTGCCAAAAAAGGTTCATTTTTTAGCACTATGTTAGCTACTTTGTGTACTTTATACAAATAGATTGGGAAGCTTATTTCATGTCTGTATTGCGATGAGTGTGGCACCATTAACTGTTTGGTTTATCAGGTTTGGTTAAATTTCAGGTTTTTGATGAGGTCATTTGTCGATGTCCAAAATCAGGCTCTAAAATAAACAGAACTTCTCCCTCAGACGGCCGCAGTCGCTGTTTTTGCTCTGCTCAGCCTGCAGTGTGGTCCGTTTTGGCCCGGTCCATGTTCTGCTGCTGTTCGTTTTCCATCACTATAAACCAGCTGGGTCGTTTTCAAACCACAAACTTTAGCTTCCTCTCAGTCTCATTTACGTTGTAAACTAGCATTTAGAACATCATACTTCCAGCATGGCTGCAGCAGAGATCGGGGCGCCAAACAGAAGTCTTTCCTCTTATTAGACATTTGGGTCTCCCTCGGGCCGACCCTCAGGCCTCTGGCTGACATCTTTCCCCCTCTGTTCTTCCTCTCCCTGCCTCTCTGTCACATTTCTTTGCCTCCAGTTTCGCCCAGTAATGAGACCATATTTTACTCCTGCACTGGTTAAATTAATTAAGAGCAGCAGTGGAGTGCGTTCGCTTCAGATGTCATGCAAAATACATGAGACGAGATGTGGGTTCAGTTTTTCTGTAGTGTAAATGACTCGGATATAAAGGGAATGCTGTACGTCGATCCGGATGTAATATTTTATTGTTCCTTTCTAATTAAAGTGAAGTATATGAGTGAACCTTTATTAATAAACTTGTAACTTTATGCAAATCATTTGCCGTTTTCAGTTTTTTTGTTTGTTAGTTGAAAAGGGCTTAGAAATGCATATTTTTCTGTCACTTTCCTCCTATTATTTGCAATAAACACAAGTAAATAGCATGCAATCGATTTTAATGAAACGGATCCTCTTCAGTTGCCCTTTTAGTCTATTTATGTATTTATTTATGCATTCAGGGGAAAATCTGACTATATTTTTGATGGAGCAAAATGCATCAAATTACGGAAGACCAGAGCTGTTTGTGAAACACAAATTGTGTGAAAATTAATAAGGCTTGCTTAAAACTGTTGTAATTTTAAATAATAAAGGAACATGATGAACAAGGAAAGTGGAAAAGTTTTAAAGAAGACCTATTTGGAAATATTGATTATTATAACCGGTAAATATTTCTTTTAAATGATTCCAGTTTTGCTTTCAAACCTCTAACTGTCCTTTCATTTCATTTCACCAGCGAAGAAACTTTATTTCAGCTTAAGTACATTTATAGCACATCACTTTTGGTTTCTGAATGGTAAGTCAACAACAAAACACTTGTTTTTTCCAGCAGCCATTGTAAAGAACATACAGCAGTAAAAAAAAAAAAAAACTAGCTGACAAAATGTGCGGGAACTCTTGGGTTACAAGGTAACAAGCTGGGGTTTCTGATTTGTGACGTTACAGTCGGAGGTTTTTGAAACGGCTTGTTTTCCAGACACCATAAAGCATAAAAATACTGCCAGATAACAGCTGGTTGGTGTTTTTAAGCATTTTGGCTGATTGTAGAAACCCAAATGGAAGCAAACAAACCCCTGCATTACATTAAAGACACTTATGTGGATGGCAGGTAAACCTGAGACCAAAAATGAAGACAGAAATATATTTGAAAATCTTCTTATCCTTTGCCATTCTAGGGTTGCTTTCTTCCTGCCTCTGCTAAAGCTTCCTGTCAGCCTGAGATGACAGATAAAACCTCCAGGTTTCATTTCATGCAGAGTAATGAAAGCCTCCTCTGTTTCCTGTCTCCCTCTGCAATAAGCAGGCAGCTTGTTTGGGTGAATACTAATAAGAAATTGTTTGTACAACTACAACGCCAATTAACCGACTAAGAAGTGTCAAAAGCGTTTAGGCATGAAGGCAGAAGCTCCGGGCCCCCGAGAGACTGTCTGCTTCGTCGCTTTCTGTCTGCTTCGTCCCACAGGATGAGTTGGTTCCAGCACCAACTCCTTCCCTCGATCTGTTTCTTTCTCTTGCACTTTAAATCCGTTCCTGAGAGTTTTATCCCAGCCGGCTCTCGTCCTGCTGCCTGTCTCCCTCAGGTCTGTGGTGTTTACGCTGCGTCTCGTTCTCCTCCAGCAGAGGATGCAGACTCGTCTCAGTGTGGTGGTCACCGCCGGATCGCTGTGAGGATAACAGCTGCCGGCCTGCTGAGAGAGACAGGAGGGAGAGACAGGAGAGAGAGACAGGAGAGACAGGAGAGAGAGACAGGAGAGAGAGACAGGAGAGAGACAGGAGAGACAGAGAGAGACAGGAGAGAGACAGGAGGAGAGACAAGAGAGACAGGAGAGAGAGACAGGAGAGACAGGAGAGAGAGACAGGAGGGAGAGACAGGAGAGACAGGAGAGACAGGAGAGAGAGACAGGAGGGAGAGACAGGAGGGAGAGACAGGAGAGAGAGACAGGAGAGAGAGACAGGAGAGAGAGACAGGAGAGACAGGAGAGAGAGACATGTTTACATCTTTACATGTTTATTTTTAAATATATGTTGTACGGAGCTGATAGTATCGAGTGTTTTATGAATAATTTGTTTTAAATTGTTTGTTGTTGATGTTGCACATGTTTGCTAACTGCTGCTAACTTGATTATTGGGAGATATTATTGATTATTATTGGTGATGTTTTATTTAATAATGGCAGAAGCTGCTGGGCGTATATTAACCACCCACTTGATTTTCTTTTTCCTTAGAATAAATAGTGAACTTGACATGAAGTTCTTACCGTACTGGACCCGAGACGAACACAGACGGGTCACACATGCACAGCTCTGGAAAAAAAATTAAGACTACAAAATGATCAATTTCTCTGATTTTACTTTTTGTATTTGTGTGTTTGAGTGAAATGGACATTGTTCTGTTATTCTATGATCTACTGACAATGTGTCTCCAAACTTCCCAGCAAAATGTTTGGTTTTATTTGCATAAAATCAGAAATGGACAAAAATAATGAAAAAGATGCATAGCTTTCAAACCTCAGGTAATGCACAGAAAACAAGTTCATAGCATAAAATGTATTCAAGATCATGAAGAATTAGGTGGAAGCGCTCTTTAGCCGTTTCCCGTCATCGAAAGCCAACTTCATCTTCGTTTCATGTGGAGAAACTTTGTCCCGAAGCGCCTGAGAGCAGATCCGTAAATCACGGTTGAGGTGTTTATTGGGCAGCAGTGCAGCACGGTGGTTTCACCGGTTTGGTCCCGGGTGTCTTTCAGGGTTTGCATGCATGAGTTTGCAAACTTTCAGCAACCTTTCCCTGCAGCACAAATATTCAAACGTTTCTCAGGTACAATATAAAACTGTATTGAATGCTTCGTTGATAATTACTGCTTATGTTTAAGGCTTTTTGTCAAGTTGCAGAGCAGAAATTGGAGACTGAGCTAATCTCTGTCTTCTTACCACCAGATACTTACATAAATTCAACAGACAATTACTTTATTTCCACATGGAGTTTTACTTTCACTTTTCATTAATGTTCAGTAAACATAAAGTAGTGAAAAAACAAAACCTCTTGATAGTTTTGGTACCATGTCAGCTTGTTGATTTGACATTGAGTGGGTTGGCCAACGATAACTGGTGGACATGGTTTCCAAGCTACTGGACCAGCCGTGGTGGATTGGACCTTATCCATGTTCACACAGGTGGAACTGTGGGAAAATTGATCGAGGTAATGTTGGCAAAAAAAAAAAAAAAAAGGACATCTGTAGCAACCAGACGTCCAGTGGAGCTGCAATAAAAATCGAGCTACTGGCTGACCTTAGCCTAACCCTAACCCTAACCAGCTATGTTCAGCCTGAGCTAACGGTGGCTAACTTTAGCGAAGATGATGTCGGCTGGCAAACAGAAGGAGAAAATGGCGCCGAGCAGAGCAGCAGCGGCGGCAAGGCCTCATAGAGGAGGAGATTAAACCCTGAGGGGTTTAGGGTCTTCAGAATCTGTGAGGAAAAGAGGACTTTCTTTCTCCACAACTGATCAAAAACAAACTCTGAATGACAGAAGAGGCTTTCTGCAGGCTCTTTGATGGCCACTGGGTCTAAGTTGGATTTTCAGGAAAACAAACAGCTAATAATATCAGATGATCTTGTCTGATATGCAGCTTTGAATATGGACTCGTTATGGTTGGATGCTTGGAGTCAGTTGAAGATCGTTTGGGTTTTGTGTTCTGGTCATGTTATTTCAGCAAAGTGGATGATTTTTGTTGTCATAATCTTGAGGTTTGGGATAATTTAATTCATTGTATTAGGTGATTTGAGAGATGGCAGTATTTGGTTTCTGATGATTGAAAGTCATCAGACCGCCATGCTGTGATTTGACATGCCAGCTTGTTTGGAAGCCAGAATTAGTGTAGAGTTTGTATTTATTTACCTGTTCAACTTTGGCACATTTCTGTCCCATTTACTAATCTTTAGAAAAGCCTTCTGGGGACCAAAGCCCGGGTCTAATATGGGCGACCCTCTTGTTAGTCTGGAATGCAGTTACTAAAATGAATGGAAGTCAATTGATAAAGTCCTAATATGGGTCGTGATACAAACTTGTGTGTTTCTGGTCCTGTATGCAACATCTCTGGTAAATATTTTTTCATTAAATATTACATCTAAGCATTTTTAAAGTACTTATTTGTGTAATTTACCAAAAATGTCAATTGGTTGATGTTGATATAAAATATCGTTATGCAGGGATGAAATTGTGGCACAAGTTGACCAAAGGTTTAAATTATTCTAGACGTTTCACCACCAAAGGAAAAGACCCAGACCTGCTTTCAACATTTGCCAGTCATATTTTATTTCACTTTTAAGAAAAAAAAAAAGAAAGAAAAAGTTTGGTCTTTGTAAACATCTATATCATTGTTCATATCTTGTCATTTTCAGCATTTAAAAATACTTTACTCTTTACTACAACATCTCCAGCTTCAACACCGTAGTCAGAATGAGCGTGATCCATGCATCAACACACCCAGGGAGGGAGAAATATGGATGAACCCACACGTCCAACTCAGACAAACCCAAAACAAAAGCACATTTATTATATTATTTTACTGAGCTAAGTTGGTGTTTTTCTCTCTGAGAGGCTTTTCTCTTACCAACGATCGGAAACAACACAAAACAAAAACAAATGTAACAAAACAAGAGGATCCTAAAATGAACAACACACAAAAAAACTTAAAATACCAAAAACTGATAAAGCACTTTGTGACTCCATTAACATGACTACATGAGTAAATAGTGACAAAAATATAAATACTTGGGAAGGAGGAAAATCATCCAATAAAATATAAAAATGCTGATGCTTTTTAAAGATAAAAACCACAAAAATTACAGTGATTCTTTGAATTTGTTCAGAATCACTTGTTCAACTTTTACATGTAAATTATTCAAATATAAATTCACTTGAGTCGCCTTATATAGGATTTTAATGATCAAGAAATAAGACAAAGGAAAACTAATGGTGATTAAAAAAATAAATATAGAAAAGGTGTCTAACACAACAAAGAATAAATAGATGTCCAACCAATATCCCTGTAAAATTCATCTTTTAAACACACGTCACTCCAATGTTCGTCATCAAGAGGTGGTAATTTTAGGTATTTTTATGGTGAACAATCTAATAACAGAATCCAGAGTAATAAGTATTTAAAGACATACCAAAAAATAAAAATAAATTTTAAAAAACTGATCAAGTGAGGTAAATTTCCCAATTAAATTTTTTTTTATATCTTTGTGTAGAATTAAGAACGTAATGCTGCTTTGCTTGGTCACTTCTGGATTCTTAATGTTCCAGAAACAATTTTCTGGAAATATGCAAACTCTGGAAAAAGGCAACGTAATCATAACAGCAGCTTCCCTCGTTAACCATCCAGGTTTTTCCATGCAAACTTTCTGCAGTTCAATCAGATACATGCCGGACTGCAAATACAGTGTGAAGCCACAATATAAATTTCCCAGTTAGAAATTGACTACACTTGCCCCAGAAGTCAACCGTTGCGGTTTCCAAATCCAACATGGCCGCTTTACGCATAAAAACCGCCAATGAACACTTAAAGACGACAATCCTCTGGAAAACTTCCTGTTTTCCTTCCAGAAAAGAAGCAAAGGATTACAAACTATGAACACTGGACAAGTTGAGCTATTGTGTCCTTCTTGGCTTGAGCTTATTTAAATTAATGACATTCCCCTCTAATATTCACTTTTTTGTTGAACGTTGAAAGGCAAAGGGTTCATCCCAGCTGTTATCAGACAAAGTGGTGCCATCTCTGTTTTTAAAGTGCCTGTAAATAATGAAAAAAATGTCATTGAAACTCTGACTTGGGTTAGTAAAACATGTGATTTTCAGGACAAAAGTTCTAGATTTAAAAAGTTGTGACCGCCTGGAACAGTCGTATGGACCCAACTCGTTAGATGGACGCTGATATAAAAATGTCATGGTATAATTTGAAAAAATATGAAGGTTTAGTTTCATTTACACAAAAAATAAAAAGTCAAATGTATAATTATATTTATTTATATCTATTTTCTGTCATTTTTTGCTGGTAGTTTTGGCCAAAAATAGAAAAAAAATAATCTTTACTACAATTAGTAGTTGTTTTTTGAACAACATTTGAATGAGACAAACCAGAGTAAATACAAAACATCCCCCAGAATAAACAGCCAGTCTGGAGCTCAAACGGAGTTTCAGTCACAATTTCAGCCGCAGTTCAAAACCAAAACAATTCATTAACTAATGTGAAATGAAATAATTTGAGTCATCAACCAGGGTTACATTTCTAAAGCTTTGAGTGGACCACAGTCTCCCATTGGCTGTTTAACATTTTTAAAAATGGTGCTAATTTAACGAGTGATGGTCGAAGGTCCTTCAGTTTCCAGAAAACGACCGATTTGTTCGTTTTGCTATACAAGATGCTTCCAAACAGCTGAATTGTTCTACTTTCAAAGCAAAAGAAGAGTGTTGCAGCCTTCTTGAAGTCGGCTGACAGGCAGTGTGCAGCAACCTGTGGACGTGGAGGGGCTACCGTCCCTTTCCTCAGTACTCGGTGTAGTTGAGCTGCTGTTGCACCGGTACTTTTTCTGGCATCTGATCACAAGGCTAGAAAACTTTGAACCATGTTAATGAAACATTTAATCAATTTTGTAAACTCTGATCGTTTCAAACAAATTTCAGTGTTCTCTTTAGCGATTTGATGTTTTAGCTGTCTGCATCTGTGACGGTGTTCGTAAACGCGGCGACCGTCAGCCGGTCAGGGAACGAAGAGACGGCGACCTCAGTGTGAAATAAAAACCGACACTTTCAACCCTCCTGCCAAGATCTATTCTCAGTTTTGAATGACAGCCAGACTTATTACAAATCTAATATTACTTGGCAGGTAAACACACATACACAGATAATCCAATTTATAACCTCTCTTTTGTCCCCCTGACCCCTGGGGGTCAGATTCATTAATCTCGTGTTTGAATGTTTGCCAAAGACACAAGCCAAGGAGATTACAACACGCGCATGCTTCACAGAGAGGATAACTGAATGAGAAATGACACGGTGATGTTCGATAGGAAACAGGGAACGGGGATAATGAAAGGGAACGGCGACACGGAGCCAGAGTCCCAGACTCGGTTTCGCTGGCAGCTAAGCAACAGGCAGAAGGACAGAAATGTTGTTGCATTTCCAACATGCAGCTGTCGTCCTCCAGCGAAGATTACCAGCTTTAAAGAGCCGGGTTCTCTAATTCAGCCTGCTTGTTCGCCCCGTGGCGCCAGCAGCATCATTATCCTGCTGCCTGCTTTTTCTTTAACCGGTTACAGAAGCTTAAGTCATTGAGAAAGAGAGTCTGGCCAAGCAGCCAATCAGCAAGTCATGTTTCAAAAACACAAACAAGCCTGAAGACCGGGCGGCCGAGACCTTTCTGGGGCCTGAACTGGTCTTTATTTGGAGCTGATCAACACCAGGTGATTATATTCTTCCTAAGCTACTCTGTGATATAGGTACTAGCATTAGCATCACGTGTAAGTAGCTGACATCACATCGTTTTAACTCTTTGAAAATGAAAATTGTCATATCTTATATTTCCCCAATGACCAGGAAGAGATTCAGCTATTATTTTTGCAGCAACTATAAATATAATATAGAAATCATTTTCCATGTGTAATAGAATTTGTATAATTCAATGTTATTTTCACTATACATACATTATTATGCTAGCTTTGTGCTCTTGGGGGCCCCCTGGTGGTGCGGGGGTCTCTAGCAGCCTCTTACATATGACAAACTAAAGACATGATAAATAAAGACATGAACAGTAATTAGACTGTGGAGGCCAGTGGTGTCAAATTTGTCATCATTTGGACCAAATTGCCTGGTCAAAAGTAATAAATATATATATTACTGGATAGATGCGTTCTTGTCAATTATCAAATTAAAGAGAGTGGTTATTGTTAAAACTCCAATACTTTTACCAACTATTTTCCATTGTAGCATAATTTTAATTGGTCAGTAACAGCGCTTACTTAATTAGAAATTAAGGAGAACATTTGAATTCTTCGATTGCAGTTCACAAATTTAATCCAAGGACAGCAAAAGGTCCTTAGGGCAAACGTTGGACACCCTGATGTCGGCTAAAAGCCCCGAATGCAACAGCTGGTGGCAAAATCTTCACACTGATCACACTTGGACATCTTGTCTTTTCTTTTGTCTCAGTTATTTCATTCTCTCAGTTATTTCCTCCCCAGTCCACCTTGGATTGAACATCGATGTTTCTCGAAAGCAATAACATTCCTGACAACTGAAATTGTACAAAAACAATGTTTTCTGTTTTCCTCACCAACTCAAAATGTAGTTTCTGAAAGAAGATGATAAAAACTATCCAACAAAACAAATGTTAGGTTTTCTGGAGTATTTCACTGGTTGTAGGAAATATGTTATCTGGTAAGAAAATAATTAGTTTTATATACAATTAACTGATGCAGCAACATTTTCCTCTGTGTCTGAGCCAAATGAGGCATTTCACTGCTGATGTCTCACCTCTCTTCCAACCTCTACATGCGTAGCCTTAACTTGAGGTCTTAACCTCTCACTCTATTCCGACCTTTAACTTAGGAACAATTTGCTGTTTCTGCCTTTATTGCTGCCAAATAATGGTTCAATTAAAGGACATGGGTTGTTATACATGCAGTTGCTGAACCTTGTTCTTGCTGGTCTAGTCAAAGTTTAGCTGGTTCTTATCAGCGTTGCAAACTTGTTTTCTGTGGGTTCAAGGTTTATTTCCTTGAAGTCTGCAGGCAGCAAGGTCCTCAGTTGGGAGGAAAGAATCTTGATTTCTGCGTTTCCTTTCTTTCCGTAACGTGGCTTAACAAAGGGAATGAATTTATTAATAATCCATGTCGACCGACCATATGCTGCCCCATCTGTCCAGTTCCAGACTCGCTTCTGGGCAAGAGCCGATCTAAAATCTGCGCTTCAACACTTCCTTTCCAGAGCAACGTGGATGTCGGAGCAGTTAATTTGACATGAAATGTGGCTTAAAACAATTTCACAAAAGCAAAACAAACAGATTCACCCATAAAAACACAGCAGACCACTTTGCACATTTAATTGTAGTGTTGGACTCACCACAGCTGCCAGCACTTTGGGGAGTTTAAAAAGTAAATCTGCACAGTTTAAAAAGGTTGTGTTAGTGATTTGTGACAATTTGTTATAGTTTGGTACAAAGAAACGCCCCGTGGTGCAGAACAGACACGTGATTCTTCAGCTGCCTTGTATTTTTCCCTTGAACTTTCTCAAACTTGCTCCTACAAAGATTCACATAAATAAAACACCAGTCGTGTCCCACACACATCAATACAGGTTTCTGATAATATCATGTACAAATACAAACACTGGTTATGGTCGTAGTTTGGATTTTTGTACACCGTTTCCTTCCCAGTTGCCGTCACGATCACAGTCAGTACGATCCTTCATTCTGATTGGTCCTTCAGGTGTACGGAAGTCCCCCATTGGCTACTGTTTGATTTGTTGTTTCTCAAAGTGTAAACATTTTACGTGACCATGTGTAGTACTTTTTTTTTTTTTACATCCTCATCAGCTGTTTTTATTCCGCTCCGCGTTTCTTCACGTCTCTCTTCAGTCGCTCTGTTTTTGTGTACTTGTTGTTGTTTTTACAATTCCACGATAACAACATCAACACGTGACGCCATTGAAAAGAGTAGAAAATGTGGTTTGGGATGAGGACAAGGGGACATGGGAAGAGTTTAAAAGAGGGTTCGATGGTGGCGACTTGTCACAACGTCGATTTTTGTTTATTTTGGACACGCAAGGCGAGGATGGGGAACGTAAGGCAGGCAGGGGGACGAGTCGGACAGGGAGGTTTGGGTAATGAGGCTATTTTTGCACAGTGTATCCTTAAATAAGAGGAAGAAGAGGGTTAATTTATCGTCTCGCCGGCAGGTTTTAGTGCAGGATGTCCTGAGGGCCCCGTCATTTTGAGCGCAGTGAGAGGAAAAAGGCGATAAAAGTTGGAGTTCAAGGGTGATGATCCGCTGATCCTCTACAGCGCAGAGCCTTTCAAAAGCATTCAGAGCTTGTGAACATTTTTACATTTTGTCGCACTACAACTGTAAACTTCAGTGGGATTTTACAAAATAATAGAAAAGATGAACTAGAAGAATACATGGATTTCAAATCTGTTGCACACTAAAATCTGAAAAGGATGCTATGCACAATACCCCATTTACTCGAACACCCCGTAAATAAATAAACAGTCCAATTCCCTTCAGAAGTTACTCAGTCAGAGACTAGAGTACTGGTGTGACTTAACTTCTATATGAAACTTAACGTTTAGTGGGTCAATTGTGCATAATCTAAATAAAAAGTGTTAAAGTTTGAGGTTGTAATGTGAGAAAATGTAAAAATCATTTCAAGGTATTTCTTTTTCACGGAGGTGTAATGACAGAGGAAAGGCTGTCGAGGTTTTCTGCAGCTCAGTTTATCTCCTCTCACCTTTTTCTCCGTCGTTTTTCATTCGGCTGCTGCAAGACGCTCTTCTTTCTGGTTTTGTTGTTGACTTTTGTAGCTTTATCGCTGACCTTCGTCCTTCCTCTCAGCTCTGCTTTTCTCTTCAAAGCTCAGCTGATTATCTCCTCTGCAGCTGGTTTGGCTTTATAGCGAAACAACAGCGGTCCTCTGATGATAACGCTGTTTCAAGGTTTTCCTGGATACACTGGGGGGCCTTTATGGTTCAAAGATGAGAATAATTAGTCTCAACATTGTTGGGGGAGTTGTTGGTTCTCATGAGGGTGTGCACTCATTTTATTTAGGGAAAAAATAAACCTAATCGAGTGACATGAAATCCATTTTCAGATAAAGTCGTAAGGTTTCCCGCCTCCTCCGCACCAGTTAGGTCTCTTTCTAAAACGCTTGTATATGGCAGTAGGCCTCCATCGAAGCCAGCAGGATGTAAATTAGCCACAGAGAGACGAACATCAGCGACGTTAGCAACTTGCAAGTCCGCGGCCCGCCCAGCTCGCCTCCGGCCACCGTGGGTCGCCGGCGGTAGAGAAGCGTCAACACGCACACCACGGCCAGGATGGTGAAGAGGGTGACGGAGAAGGCCAGGTTTCCTGGGTCCACCCTGAAAGGCTTGCCCTTAGAGCGCCAGGCGATGGCGGCAATGGTCCACGCCACACCAATACCCAGGAAGACGTTGACGGCGTTGGAGCCAGTCACGTTGCCAATGGAGGCGTCGGCGTACTGGTCCTGGATGGCTGCAACCTTACTGGCAAAAGTATCTGAGAAAACAGCAAAGAAATAAATATTTCAGTTAGCAGTCTACAGGAAATTATTTGAAGATGTAAAACGCAAACATTAATAGAAAACTATAAATGGATCCCGCAGTATAGACCAAACGTTCAGTGTCAAGGTTTAGCCGCCATGATTACAAATTTTACTGGACGATAAATTGGCCCAGAAATTATTTCAATAAACGGTAATATTGTTGCTTTGAAAATTCACCTTTTCAAAAACAAATAGACTTTAATTCTGTATGAAACGCACAACATCGGAAATGAAATACATTTTAAATATCCAAAATATAACAATAAATAAAATGGATTATTAAGCCTTCAAACAAAATCGCCTTTTAAAGAATATAATTATCCCAATGGAAATGATCAAGCTCATTTTATTGATCATGTAATTAATTGATTACTGTGACAAGCTTAGTCAAAATTCCATTTCTATACAAGGTCAAAGGTCGAGGACAAGTGATGACTATTTGATTAAAACATAAATGAATATGTCCATTCTTATTTTAACTCAACCTGGACTTAAAGTAAACTTAAATTAAAAACATTAGACAGTTTGTACTTCTGCTGCGTTTTCCTCCAATCAACGACTCGATGCAACCAGTTGGGTTTTCTTAGAAAGTTTTAAAACTACTTTGAATAATTAACTGATCTTACTGTGCTGTTTAACTAGGATCAAGTGGAATATGTATGAGTGAATAATAAGTCTCTTGATTTGTTGTCAATTAGCGCTGTATTAATAAACTAAAACAACATTACAGTGAAAATACCTTAAATATTTAATTTTGAGAATCACTCATTGAATGCAGCGAAAGCCATAATATTTAACAATTTAATAGGTAGTTGTATCAATACACTCTGGTACAACCGGCCTTTTGAGGACGTCCATCATCTCCATATGACCCGAAATAGAAATGGACTGTATGTGGTGCAACCACCCAAACAGCAGAGTGATGCAGTGATTACATTTACATAACCATAAATGTCTCAGCATGTTTGGGAATATTAATTTAACAAGTGAGCCCAAAAGAGCTGAAGGAGAAAAAGAGATTTGTCAAAGTAGCTCTCCAATCAACTATCACACAGGAAACATAATTTGATCCTGATGGTTTGGTCTTGAAGCCAAAACTCTACTCTTATTGATGAGTCGTTGGCTTTCGTCTGCAAAGTGGATTTTATTTAGTCAGAAAACATCTAAACATCAATTTAAACATCTAGAAAGTCAGATTTTACGTAACTCAGTATATGATGCTTCCACTGATGGGTATTGGTAAGTTGGTGTCCTAAGATTTACACGAAGCACAGAGAGAATGGTTTGAAGATCCACAAGACACAATTACCAACCCTGGATGGAGTTTATTCAAATCAGGTGCTTTTATTTTGTAATAAGTAAATGTTGGATTTTACGTTAAAGCTGGTTGTAAAGAGTCAGCCACAAATACTGAATCATCGTCGACCACTTGGTATCACGCAAACCCAAACCACTGCCGCCATCAGACCAGCTTCCCTCGGATGTGTTTACCTTCACTCACTGCTGGATCACCTGAATCTGATAATCTCCGTTGGATTATCAGATTCAGGTGATCCAGCAGTGAGTGAAGGTTCTTTGGTTAAGAAAAGAGTGAAGTTTCTTGCTACCTATAAACAGGATGGCATACATACTTTTTAAAGGGGTGCAGGTGGCTTGGAGAAAGCTTTTCCATCAGATTGAAATTCTGTCTAAAGCTGAGGGTTTGCAGCCCTGGGAAACAGCTGCCAGTCACTGTAGGACCTCATCGGCTTATTCCCTTTTAGAGTCTGGCTGCTGCGATGAGTCTCGCTTCTCATTTAAATGTTAGTGAGATTAATTGAAATTCATATCGAAACATGAAACCACCCTCTAGAGTGAGTGAATTGTGATCCTTTTGGTGAAATCTCTGTGATTTGACACTCGGGTGGGAGAGATTTACATAACCACACAGACAGAGTTCACTCTTATCGAAGAAGAGGAATCGTTCACCTCAGGCAGATAATGATGGCTTCCAGGATCTCACACGTTAAAAATCATTTGATGTGTGAGATCCTGGCAGAGAAAGCTGCTGCGTTTGATAGACGATGAATCAACATAGTCATGGTGTCGCAGTTCATTTTTCTGTTTGAAATACGAACTGAACTCCAGCACCAACAAATGATCATGTAATTAAGTCTTGTCCTGGATAAATTAGAAAATATTTTCACAAAGTGAATTATAAACTAATGTGGGCTTACATGTAAATGCTTAGTTTACAAATTGATATGCAACGTTTTTATCTCTTGAAAGGTAATTTAATTGAACTTTATTCATTTTATTACTTCACAAAGTCTTTTATTGTTTCCCAAATTCAACTTTTTCTGCATTTATTTTCACTAAGTAGTCAATTAAAAAAATCTGCAGAATGTACATTTATTTTATCTGACTACTCCATTTAACTGTCACAATAATCAATAATTATTACTTTGATCACAAAAGAAAATAGAAATACAAATCTTTTTGTGTAGTAATTTGATTCTGTTTTTTCTGTTCAAACTATACAAATTATGTAACTGAAACATTATTTAAATGTATTCTACAATATTTTATACTTTATGAAATGTGATCAGTTTATAGTTGAAATATGGTATAACAGGCTTCTGCTTAAAATTCAGTAGCTTAAATTATCACTGTTACATTAGTTTAGTTGCCTCGCTTTTTCTTAATTAGAAAAATATTAAAAAAATTATTCAAAATATAAATTAGCAAAAAATTGAGCAGATTAAAGTCAATTTCTGAATCAATTCAGAATTCCCAGGAGGAGGAATCTCTTATACTCTTATTTATTTTTTCCGGACCTCTAATCAGAACTTCCAGTTTTAATGTGCTGATGCTCCGGTACCGAACAACTCAAATGGTTACAAATGAGCCCAATAACGCTCCAACCACGTTCTGATCCAAAACTGCTCCATCATTCCCCGAATTGGAAAATTTGCAGTAAATGGTCCTCATAAGCGAAATAATTGATCCAGTGTAATAACGCTTTATGAAGAGTTCAGGGCTAAAAAGGTTGAGAGGATGAGTGTTGAGGAAGATTACAACGCTGAGCACGGCAGCAAACTCTCCCACTGGAAGCTATAATCACCTTTTTCTGCAGCCCACAGGTCAAAATGATGGATGAACCAATAGCAGATACACAACAACCAATAAAGGGGAAGGAAGGAGACAGGAGAAAGCAAGTCACAATAACAAACTGCTCCAGATGGGGCATCAGGGCAAGAACTGAAGGTAGGGAAAGACGGGATATGCAAGAGTGATTCTGCATGTAAGACAAAGAGATTAAAGAAGATTTAGAACGTAAATGAATCACCATTACTGGTTTTTGTGGGAAAAGATGCAAATCCGTGTCACGTCTCCAGTCCCGGCACGGCTGTCGAAGCAGCTCACTTGGATATGACTTCTCAGAAACCATCAAAGCTGCCACCTGGAAGCGCAGCGCTTGAGCTATTTCTATAACTCATACGGCGGAGCAACAATAAACCCGCTGGCGAGAGCAATGAGGTGGGGAATTGAATTAAAGCCTGGGGACGAGCAGTCCCCTCCGGGTGGAGCCCGGCTCAGGCTGAAGCCTGAGATGGAGTCTGCTTTTTACAACTCAGATTGGATTTTCAGCCTCCCTGTTCGTACAGCTGGAACGAAGCACTTCTTTCATTTGGTGTGTCTGCCGCAGGTAAACTTTGGGAGAAACACAGAACTCAGGTGTCTGTTTAAACACAATGCTGAGTGAGAAGGAGAAGCACTGAACAAAATGTCACCGATCTATTTTTAACCTTATTCTTGTACCTCCAGTTTCTCCAAATAGTAGGCCTGAAGTTATATTTATACAAAATACAGTTTCTACTAATTAAATACCCTAATATTTTGGCGCCACAGCCCATCTGACGAGACAGTAGAAGAAGGTACAGCTGGTCAAGTTCTTCTGTATTTTACTGAATTTACTTATTCTTCCTGGTTGAGACGATAAGAGTTTATTCACACAAACTCTGTTTACTTCGCTTTCATCAAACTCTAGTTTGTTTCTCTAGAAAGTCCGGATCGTTTGGGGACGTGGGACACTCTGGTCCGCCTCGGTGCGGCTGGAATGTATATGTCAATGTAACCAAACGCTCCAAAAGCAGGAAGTGGACTATAGTGCAGTGCATTCTGGGTAAATAAAGCTGAAACAAATGCAAGAGTCTAGCGCTAGCAGGAGATATGAGGTTTTGGTCTGTCTTTTTGCCAAAGTCAGACCAAAACCTGGTGGTACTGCATTTCTGTTTATATTTAGAGAAGAATGAAGTCGTCTTCTTCTGAGGTTTTTGTGTAGTTTCGTGGTTCTTGGTGGCGCCGCCACAGGCGAGGAGGGGAACTAGTGATTTACAGGGTTTGGATCGTTGGACCCACTGCAGAGTGAAAGCAAACCACCTGAAAATGGTGCAACTTTAGTCCCAAAGCGAACCGACTGTATCGGACTATCAGGTGTGAAAATACCATAAAAGAAAGAAACCTTTAGATTTGGCAAGTTTTGAATAAATTTTCGAAAAGTACAACTTCACCTCTGCACTTCCAGCCCCAAAGGATCTTTGCATACATACTAAGTTAAAGAAGATGGAATTTTGAGAATAATTAGGGTTATTCATTAATTAATTAATACCACAAAAACAAAAATGTAGGAGGGTACAAACACTGAATAAAAACAGCGATGGCACGCTATCTCACCCGGTACCGATGTCCCCAAAGCCACGAACACCACGGCTGTCACGGAGTCCTTCAGTCCTACCGTGCAGCCGAAGTGCGACGCCAGGTCCCCGGTGACGGCGGTGAGGACGCCGATCAGTGAAATGGAGACAAAGAAGCAGGCCCAGCCATTCCAGTACTCCGTGGGCGGGACAAAGGCAAACAGAACCTTCCAGAACACGGTGAGGAAGTGCATGATGTAGTCGAAGCAGGAGGGTAGCCGCTCTTCGCCGCTCTCCTCCTCGTCATCATCTCCTTCAGGGGAAGCAGGAGATTAAACATGAAATTCCTATAACAGTGAAATTACAGCCAATAAACTTTTTAAATTTAAGGTTACTTTGTAACATTATTTTAGTTTTTGAAATTAGCTTAGTTTAGCTTGCTTTAGCAACACTAGCTGTAGCTGGTAGCCCAGTTAGACTAACATTTCCTTATTCGAGCTTAACTGTGCCACCACCTGGTGCTCTCATTGAGAATTCAGGCATAATTAACTGGTTCATTTTGGTCTTGAAATTTTAGCAATTAAAATTTAGCATTAGCTCCGATGAGCTAAAATAACCTAGCGTAAAGTTGCATAATATAGATACAGCAGTAGCAAAAAAGATCATTATTCATCGCCATTATTTCTGAAAATTCATGTATCTGAAACTAAGGCAATAAAAGAATTAAAATTTTCAAAAGAAAATACAAGTTTGCCTTAAACACTGGTCTTAAATGTTGTCATGTCTGGACTGTTTAATCTGGTTTAATCTTGTAGATACTTGACAAAAGTGTGGAGGCGGTTGAGGCTGTCACTATCTAGCAGCTAATATAAACTCTATATGCTTAAGAACTGATTTAGACAATTTCTCTCCAAAAAAATTTGATTTGGGGTTAAATTTCTCTTTAAGGAAGAAATTTCCTGTATCGGAAGCAAAATGTCCTCTGGGTAGATGAGCCTTAATTTAAATGTTCAGAGGAAAACCAGCTACTCAATCTGAATGAAACTGGACCAGAAAATGTACGAATGACGAAATCTTAAAAGTTAATCCAAAAGTGTTTGCATTATGCGCTTCACTTGGTGATAAACTTCCTAAAATAAATGGGCTTTTGCGTAATAATTTACTGAATCGGCGTGTATTACCTGCGCTTACAGTGACGGCGTTGACAAACTGCTCCCTCCAGCTGCTGCTTCCCACCACCAGGGCCAGATTCGTCTTCTTGATCAACTTATCTACTGTGTTCTACATCCACACACACGGGAACACGCATGCAAGAGTACACACACCAAACAGAGCAGGAAAGACATAACCCCAAGTTGTTGATTCACCCGCAGCCACACACAGAGAGAAAAATATTGTTTCAAGTCCTGAAATTCACAACCCAAGTGGCAGAAGTATATTTAGATACTGATGGGACGATGAGGTGCAAGATGTGTTAATTAACACATGCCATGTTTTAGAAATCGAGAAAAATGCCTTCAGACTTTTCTTCTGGGCTTAAAGATAACAGGAGCTGGGAAAATGGAAGAGTAAAATATCTTGATTCAGTCAAATCCTGCAGGATTTACTGCATGTGAGTTTAAAACATGCTTCTTTGTACAAGTAAGAAAAAAATTTAATTAATCACTTTGTGTCACGAACGGGAAAATATGGAAAACGAGAGTGAAAAACGAGCTTTGCATGCATGTGAGAGAGGTACCTTATCAGTAAGAAGAGTATTTACTGCTTTCTACACATGCATAAACACACACACACACACACACACACAACAGAAATGGACAAATGAGGCACAATAAATGAGTGAACAAAAAAACACAGATGATTTATTACAATACAATCAAACAAAATGATGGCAAACGGAGCAACACAGTGAAACGCGATGACAGTGAGCTGCTTGCAAGAAATGCCAAGTCATTTGTAATGATCCATGCTTTGATTATTTAACCATTGGTCCGTTTCTGAACTAATTTCATCCATAAAGGTGAAATATGTATGAAACTGAGCAGAAAGCTGGCAGGTCTTTATTTCTTGGATCAGTGAGCGAACAGCAACTTTTCAGAGTCTGATATTTCACAGAAAAATAAGATTAATAAGGTTTTTAAGCCTTTGGAGTCTAATCTAATAACATCTCAGGAGAGAGGATTACATTGCATGGTTCATTACATGCCAACAAGCCGAGATTTATGAGCTTAACCATCAAATCTTTTACTATCATCCATTTACAGTGTTTGAAAAAGTAGTCATACCTCATAATTTTAGCACATTTTTAATTGGGATTTTATGTCACAGAGCAACACAAAGTGATCAATATTTCTGAATCGGAAGGAAAATAAAACCAGTTTTTCAATCTGTTTTGAGAAATAGTCTGAAAATTGAGTTTCTTTGCATTCATCCTCCCTGAATTGCACCTAAAACTTAGTTTGTCTCCAACTTCTTTGCACTTGGAGACACTAGGTTTGTTCACGCTCCTTTGTAAAATAGCTAATTTCAATTTGCACATTTCAGATTTTTCATGAAACCTCTTTCTATTTTAAAAATGCATCAAAACATACAAATCATCTTTTTAATTAAGACATTTTATTGCCTAAAATGCAGCATTACTTTAGTAAACACTTGCTCATTTGTAGCAAATGATAAATGTTGAGTATTTTTTGGTTTGCCAGTCAATAATTGGATAGAGAAAAATGCTTAATACATTTTATTTTTTTAAGAATTTGAACCAGGTGAAGCTAAAACTGCAACTTGATGAGTTCTAGGTAGATTTACAAACTGTTCTTTTTAAATCTTATGTTTATATTTTGGTGCAGTTTTTGCTTAATTGCTGCTCTGAATGTATTGTTCTTTCACTTAATTACCATTTTAGAGTTCATAATTTATTTAATTTACAATTATTTACAGTAACTGAGAAATCACGATTACTGTATTTTCTGGACTTAAAAGTGTTTAATTTGATCAAAATTAAACACTGTGCCTTCTTTTTCTGAGAACCTTGTATTTTCTTTTTTTTGAGTAAAACAGCGCCCTCTAGTGAGTTGATAAGGAATCACTCCTGACCTCAACGTGGTTTTGAGTGGCACCCGACGCTCACTGCGCTCTGTCAAAATGTTTTGGCTACATTACGGCGACCGCAGTCAGGAGCGTCGTCCAGAAATAGGTACTGTTCTTTGACTGACTTATGACTGTTTTGTTTCGGTTCATTTTATACATGAAAAAAGATAAAAAACAGGCCATTTGTTTACAGGGTGCCTTATAATGAGGACCATACGGTAATCCCATTAATCATTTCGGCCCTAATCTGAACGGTCTTGCAGTTTAAATGATAAAATAATGGACCAAACAGATGTTAAAATATTGACATCTAGTTTTATGTTAAACGATATAAATATTGCTCTTCCTTGTTCTCTAATATTCTGACAAACCGCTGAAGTCTTCACAGAGCAGCTGGATTCATTCTGAGGTCAAACTGGGTGACTTCTGAAGGATTACACAGGATTTTATTAAGGCTGTCGGAGTAAACATTGAGTACAAATGCATCCTGCTTTTCCACTTCACCACGTTGCAGGACTTTGTGTTGTTATGTCACATTAAGTCAAAGCAGTGTGAATACTTCCACACTCTCCTGCGTATTGGGGCTATTAATCCCAGAGCTCGCTCACCTTGAACTCGTAGGACTCCTCGATGATCACCTCCAGCTGCGTGTGCTCGCCCAGACTGGGGCAGCCCATCTTGGCCACCTCTTCCTCCTCCGCTCCCACCAGCGGTTTGTTCTCGTTGGAGTCACCTGGGTGAACAAAGGGGTCATAGGTCAGCAACAGTCAACATGGTTTTTACAATTGTGCTTTTATTACAAAATGTAATGTTCTTCAGCCTTAATGGTAAAAATATCAGTTGAAGTAGTTCATTTCCTCAAGCTAGCATCACTAGCTAGCATGAAATGGAGGATGCAGCGATTTCTCCTTTTAGTGCCCGACAAGGTAGATGGATTCACATCTGATAGTTGGGGATAATCGGCTGTTTTCTATTTTATTACTCCGTATATGTTACAGATGCTGGAACTCTTCCTATCCTGTATGGACTGATATTTTGGCACATTGTGTTGTCTCTCTTCTTAAACGTTGATCTTTGACTTTGTCTTTTTTACACAGATGTAACCCGTCGATGTTGACAGACACGTTCAGGTTCACTGTATTTATCCTAACGAGCGGAAATCAAATCTTCTGCCCCGTGGTTACCGACGGCAACAGCAAAAAGGGGGCGGAGCTGTAGAGTTACCTGGTTGCTGTGGTAACCACCAACTGCCAATAGCAGCGCAGCTGAACGTAAAACGCCGAAAAACGTCTGGAGAGGCGAATTGTGGACTAAACAAGATGAATTCAAAGAGTAAACAAATTTTGACAAACTTCACATTTAAGATATTGATAAAATGAAACTCTACATACATGCAGAATAAACCTGAACCTGAAAGGTTTTTGACAAGAAAACGACCGAAGGATCAGTGCAGGAAAATAAACCAAAATCAGACTGTCTGAGGCATCAGATGCACTAAATGAATGTAATAATTATTAAATTTTTTCCCCCAGAAGTCAAGGTTTCCTTACATATTTTGCCACATTGTGTTGGGTTTTTGCAAAAGGTGATTTTCTCTGACCAGAAGTCGAAGCAGTGTGAGAACCCCTGTCCTAAATCATGCAAACCTCGTGATAACACAAGTTATCTTTCTCTGGGAAAAAATATCCTAAATAACTGAGAAACTATTTCCAAAAACCAGCAAGTTAGTGAAGCTACTGATTGGCATTAAACTGTCAAGCTCTGCTTTGCTGTCTTGTCAAATATTCTTGCGATTTGTCCGATTTTAACGCAGCAGCTGAAGACGTTTCATGTATTATTCAGTCTTTTCACCATCCTTAATTTATTCGCTGCAGTGGGAATTATCACTGAAAAGCATGAAGTCTGCAGAGGGAAGATGAATTTTATTATTGGTTGTCACATCCCTCATGGGGAACCCAGGCAGTTCGGGAAGGCTTTTCGCTGCAGAAACTGACGGACACGCACTTACAGCAATCTCCAACCGTCCTATCACCTCGTTACCACCTGTCGCATCGTTAGCCGCTCGGCTCCTTCACGACGCCCGTGCCCTCGCTCAGGCTGCACAATCGCTGCTGGAGCTGCTATCTGTGTCTTCCTGCTCTAATTGAAAAGCGGAGCATGTGTTACAGTGAGCGTGTGGCGTGTTTAAATGTCAGACTGTGTTTTCTTTAAACGTGTTGTAAAACTAATTATATTCCCCTGTAATGAAACGCGCCCCAGGCTGCTGCTCCTTCTTGTCCAACATCTTGACTGTGAGCCTGTTATCCACCAGAGGAAGATGCGACCACCATGCTCGAGTCGTGTGCTTCACTTTACTAGATGCCACGTGTAAATCTCATCTGGTAATAGTTTAAAGATATAATGGTGACAATTGTAGAACATAAAAAGTAAATTTCCCCTCATTTTAGAGCCAGAAAATTCAAATTAATCTTGTATGAGTCATTATTGTGTTATAATCTAGCTTCTCATTGCTTCTCAAAACAGATTAATTAAATAAAACTTTGACAATGTGCTGTTTGGACCAACAGAAGCAAAAAAACACATTTCTAACACTAATATGTTGAATGAATGTGTGGTTCTTACTGGGAACATAGAAATATGATGAGTGAGCATCTTGGGTTTGTGTGTTTCGCATATAGTTTCTCTGGTAATAAAATGTTTTTATTATTATCATTTGCATTTTCTACATCCCCTCTGTCAGTTCAAAATATCTGCTGATTGTGATTAAACACGTCAGTTAGTTAAATCTTTAGCTGCATGTTTACCCTCAATAATTAGCATTGAAATCAACTTTTATTGTGTCTGAGCCAAATGAATGACAATTCCCTTCATCTGCAGCATGTGTAGCATGAGCTTAAACTGATGTTTTATGAAAGATGATTGTAGAGATTCGTAGGAACACATCTAACACATTTTTAACTTGTTTATCTGTGGATGAATCACTTAAAGTGAAAAATATTTATTTTCTCTCTTTCACAAATTAAAACTGCCTGCATGTGGTTGGCTTGTTCAAGATGTTTGAGTCTGTGTGTATTTAGTGATTTCTGATTTGTGAATCCAGTGCAAGAAAAAAAACAACACAAATGGACATTAAAATGACTTAAAAAAATTATTATTGATTGGTTTGTGAATTCCCTTCTCTATTTAAAAATGTTGTTAAATCTTGTCCAATCCATCTCTGCCATGCTTTAAAACACAAAGTTTCCAGGTAATTAATAAAGGTAGGACTGGGTTTCTACGTAATAAATTCGCTCTGTGCTTGAAACACTTTTGTTATTTCAGTATAAAGTGGACGGAGAAGCAGACCCACCATGTTTCTGTCCTATCTCCAGCAGAACCGGCTCTCCGAGCTCAATGGTGAAGGTTTTGTTCTTCTCATACTCTTCATCGTCAATGATTTTCACCTCAATGATCTTCCTGTTAATGGGAGGATAGAAAAAGACGTTCAGTGAATGCATCATTAGAAGAAGTTAAAAAGCAGCCAGAGGTCTCTTCAGATCACACAACTTTAAGTAATAATTAAGAATATAATCTAATTGTCTCTGGTTTAGCAGTTGTCAGGTCGCTTTGCAAAACAGACTGACGGCTCAGGTTGACAGTTTGATGCTGTGTACTGAGTATGCTAATATCTGACTCCCAGGTCCTGAAAGATTATTTTCTGAAGCTGCAGTGCATGGCGATGCTCAGCTCAGCAGCCATTGTGATGTTCTTTCAATTAGAGTCGCCCTGAGGCCAAGACTAAAACGCAGCGCAAAGAACTTTGGCAAGAACGTGTGCAGAAACCCAACCATAACAAGTAAAGTGAAAAAAAAAAAGAGGGGAGCTGTGAAGATGAGCAAAAAAGCAGCTCCAACCACGGCGGCAACAATATCCCAGGTGGTGAGACGTAAATGGGTTCTGTTCTGAAATATGGATGAAGAAAAACCCCAAATGTTTGGTTTTTACGGTGGCCCTTTATGTAAAATTGTGATAATTTCCTCCTGTATGGCTGAAAGTGTTCAAGAAAAATAGCAAAGTAAAAAGAAATGTTCAAAAATGTAAACAAACAAAACACAAACATAAAAAAATAAATGTAACAAGTAAGTTTTTAATAACTATAATTAATCGATAAATAATAAATAACTAAATAAATTACTAAAAGTATTTAAACCAACTAACTTGGTCTGTCACAATAACAAAAATTAGTAGACAATAAATCGTTCTAGAAATTATTGTGATAAATTATAATGTTGTATTTTGAGACAAATAAAACGCCGCACACAACTGAAACATAAATAAAATGGATTATGATGTTTCTATAAACAAACTAGCTCTTCAAAATTATTAATAATGAAAATGAAAATTATTGAGCTCATTTTAATTCATCCTGTGATTAATCAATGTTTTGCAACAGCCTTGTCCAAAATCTAAAGGGACTCTTATATCTGAGTGTTAAAATTCATAATCCAACATATATTTGACATCTTTGTAGAGCCTGCAGGGTCATTTCTGTCTGTTTCCTGATATCTCCACTCTAAAGCTCTAAATAGGCTGGGAAAACTTCTGAGTACTTGAAATAAAAGACTAGAAATATCAAATATTGTTGATGTAAAAAAGGGGTGTCCAAAGTGTGGCCCAGGGGCCATTTGTGGCCTTGGTCTGATTTTTTGCAGACCCCAACTGCAATTAAAAAATGATGCAAATTTGACCCATGGATGCTTTGGAGAGTTTTAATTTGTAAACAGGGCAAAATTATGACCAACATAATGTGGCTTCATTCATAATCTTAGAAAGCATTTGCCTTTTTATAACTGAGTTTTAACAAAAGGTAAAATAAAATGTTTGTTTTTTTTATGAAAAGTCAGTAAAAAAATCACTGCATATTGGTTTGTTTTAAGAATTCCTTAATTTGTCATATGTGAGCCAGAATTGTTGTTTATTAGCTTTAATTATGAATCATAACAAAAGTAAACACTAATAAATCTAGTGAAACTCTATACCTCATCATACAATGTGATGACTAGTATATTTTGTATGGAAAAACATCAGTGCTTAGCAAAAGTTTGGTACAAAAGTTTCTCAACACAATATTGTATTGTTTTTCAATTAATATTGAGTGACTTTATAATTTTATTCTTCTGTGGACAGGAAGCAATAAAAGTTTGAAGAATCAAAATGAATATTTAATTAAATCCACTTACGGAACAGCTTTTACTAAATGTCCATTTAAAAATTATGGAATCAGATTTTTCACTTTTGTCTGCAGCATTGACTGAATTAGACTGGATGTAATTAGATTAGTACTGGACTGGTTTGTTTTTGTTTATAGCTTCCTGTGATAAATGTTGTTGCAGTTTGAAAAGGATTAAACTGATTGAGTCTGGGGAGAAAGCCTTGGTGCAAAACTTGAATATTAGTTTATGGCGTTTCTGAAAGGTGGGACAGAAAAGTAAGAAGCACGAGGAACACTGACTGTAAATCTTTCTGAAGTCAAGTTTTCCTGGCAGTCAAACAGCTACCAACTCTTTTCCCATAAAGTCCAAATCTATTCAAATTTGTTAAAGCTGGTCTTTGTTTGGATGCTTTGTGGCTTCGTTCTGCAAAAATTCCCACAGTTCAATCACACGCCAAGAATTACTTTTATTGTTCACAAAGATTGACACATTAAATACGTCAGTGTTGTACTAATCACAAAATATTATTTGAATGATAAAATACCTTTTCTGAAATAAAACATGCAGCTAGAAAGCTGTCACTAATTAGCTTAGACTTTAAGCTAATGCTAGCTTAGTTTGGCAGTTAGCTTCAGCTAGCAAACAGCACTATTCCACATTCCCTACAAAGAACTACGAGCCTTTCTTTGTAAACAAAAGCATAGATTTGAACAACAATAAATACATTTCATGATAAATCTGTGGCCTTTTTTTGTGCTAATCAAAGTGTCTTGCTAGCTTAATTAGCTGGTTAGCCTGAGCTACTACAGTGTGCAGAGGTTGAAAACTGATGGGTTTAATTATCTCAGCTTTCCATTTTTTCACTAGAGCTAAAAGATTTTGCAATGACAGGTTTCAGTTGGTCAGAAATTAATAATAATATATCAAACTTAAATGATACTTTTCAGGACAGTCAAAGACACTTAATTTTAGGTTATTGTCCATTTTTGATTTTAAACTGTTTCTGTTTCCAATATTTTTTCCTCTGCTAGGGAAATGTGTCTAGAATACAAATTATCTAGATGTATGAGTCGAAGAAAACAGGAGACATAAAAACTGAACGTTGTTTTTTAAATAATGTTTTTAGTAAAATAAAAAGCAGATTTTGAGGGAAGGAGAGACAGGAAGTGAACAAAGACGCCTGAAGACAAGCATGACTAACACGGCGTTTCTGCGGAGATACGAGCGTTATGACACACCGAGCTCATTCAGAGGAACAAACAAACCAACAATTTTTTTCTGAGGACATTCACTTTATAATTCATTGATTGAATCTTTAATCTGAGCGATATCTGTTACAGCTAAGAGTCAAAATCTCCAAACTCGTCAAATTCATCCCTATAAAGCGACTGTGGAAGGAAGAACCAGACCAGGGTGTCCTTATTTCACCCCAAGTGGTTGAACACCCAAGCTTGTCCTCAATGCAACACGCAGTGACTGCAGATACAGCAAAACAAATTATATAACAGCACAAACTTCCCTGTATTTACTTCATTCTCGTGTTTATATGAGCAGGCAGCTGTCGCTGCACGGTGACCTGAACATTTACATACAAACAGTTCAGCTTTCAGCACACAAACAGGTAAGCATGAAAACACGGCTCCCACTCAACACCTGGACCATTATCCAACATTATTCACCCAGCGGAGCAAACTGCGCACAAAACACACAAATATATATGCAGAAAACACTTATTTATGTTTATTCCAACTTCTCTGCTCTAAATACACACATGCATTTTATACGCTGCACCGCTGTTAATGACACATGTGCAATATAAATGGCGCTAAAGCCTTTAGCGCCCCCTGCTGTCGATGTGGACTGTTGGGTTAAATGGCTTCTTGGGCAGAACTCCAACATGAAGAGATTCAGGTTATCTAATCCGGTCCAAGAACGATTTGAAAAACTCCGACATGAAATATTTAATTATCTAAAGCATAATTAACCTTTCTGGTGAGTTTTTGGTTAAAACAGAAATTTTACTCAATAGTGGAAATACTGTTCTTTTACTCAAGTAAAAGTAGAAAGTACAGCGTAATAAAAATACATAAGTTACTCAAGTAAATGTAATTGAGTAACTGCAACTAGTCACCACTCATATCTGTGTTTTAATCCACTGTGAGCAGAAGCAGCTGCTGGTTTTAGTTTTAACTCGCCGTTCGTGCAGTAAAGGTTGTGAATATAAAATGTTTTTATTTGTTTAAGCTTCTTCTTGCTATTTAAAGGATTGACAAAAGCTACTAAATTCAAGTGGGAGCAGGTTGTTGTTTTAAAATTAAAGAACAGATGACTTATGAGCTAATTGGTCAGTGTGTCCCATTTCCTCCCACTTTGGAAAATAATATGTCGATCACTCGCCGCAGCGCTTCCAGGAATTATTCAGAATGTAGGATTTGAGGGATTTAGCAGATTATCTCCTCACTATCACCACTGAGGATTATGGTTGATCTCAGACAGAGAGGCGTGACATCAGAGGCATTTGAGCAGAGAAACTTTGCTCAAATGCCTCTAAAAGTAAATTTGATGCATCGTCTAATTAAGTATCTAAATAACAGTTTAGCATCAAAAACTTTGGTCTACTGGGAGATTTAGTTTGTTTTGGACAGAACAATCAACCTTCATTAATGTCTTCCAGATTTAATCCTAAAATAAATATCAGAAAATGTATTTATTTTATAACCAAATGATGCAGAACCTGCAGAAATCCCTTATGATATTTTCCTCTCCGCACAGAAAACTCGAAGCAGTCCCACCACTGCAGATGAAGGCAAAGTCTCTCTTTCTTTCTCCAGTCTGCTGGCTGCCAGAGCTGTCAGGTCATTTGTTTAAATCGTACCAGAAAGGCTCTGCTGCAGTTCGTTTTTAGCGATACAGTACATCATTGAGGTGCAGCTGGCGCTACGGAGCACCAGACTGTTTTCAACGCCTTTTTGAATCCATTTCATGGAGCGATACGGACGTTTTAAAGGCAACAAGAAAAGACAAGAGGCGTCTAAGAAAGTGGCCACTGACTGCATATTATTCATGTATTTTGCAGAGTTGCAGTATTTATTAAACCAAACTAATCTTGCATTAATAAAAATGAAATGTCTGTAAAAAGTTGCACTTTGACCTCAGTAGGCGTGCCGCTGCCTGTAAGTCGATTTGGTGAATACAGGGCATCACAACACAGTGTAGCAACTCGTCATTAATAATTTCTCAGACTCCTCTCTTCTCTCCAACCTT